CCAATAAATACTGACGTATACGACCAATGACGATTGATGTTACCCTAATGATCGAAGTTACACCGTATAACATAGAACCTTACAAGCTACGGTAACAGCAACATTGAATCTTCCAGTCAATCTAACCAATCTTACCAATCCAGCCAAGCTACCTAATTCAATCAATCTAACCAATAAATACTGACGTAAACGACCAATGACGATTGATGTTACCCTAATGATCGAAGTTACACCGTATAACATAGAACCTTACAAGCTACGGTAATATCAACATTGAATCTTCCAGTCAATCTAACCAATCTTACCAATCCAGCCAAGCTACCTAATTCAATCAATCTAACCAATAAATACTGACGTATACGACCAATGACGATTGATGTTACCCTAATGATCGAAGTTACACCGTATAACATAGAACCTTACAAGCTACGGTAACAGCAACATTGAATCTTCCAGTCAATCTAACCAATCTTTCCATCTAACCAATCAAAGCATTCTAACTAATCAAAAATGGCATATACGACCAATTATGATTGATTTTTCTGTAACAATTGAGAATGCACCATGAAACACAGAACCTAATAAGCTACATTAACAGAATCTAACGAATCTATCCAGTCAACACTGACGTATACGACCAAAGATGATTGATGTAAAGGCAGTCTGTCCCCTCAATGATTGGCTAATATGAACAATAGGTTATCCTACCTTAATAAATTACGCTGCTCGCTTTGGCTGGGCTGGCCTGGCCAAGCTGCGGCAGTGGACGACATTTGAAACTTCGAGCAAAAAGGCTATCAGAAGTGGCAAGAAGATTTAATAACTGGAATTGAATGATGATAATGGAAGAATTTATCTTCCCTGTTGACTGATCTGTCGCAGAAACAAAACAAAACTAAACAGGGACCCAAATTTTTCTGGGGCACAGCTTCACTACAACGGGAACACAGCCATTTGAGTCCAAAGCTCTGGAATGCGTGAATTTCACTCCCGTGAAAGTAAAGTTGAGCACAATAGGGGACAAACCGCCTTTAACTACTTTGATTGAGCTTGCACTGTGTAACACAGAAGAACAGACTACATTAACAGAAAACTTGAATCATCCAGTCAATCTCAACAGTCTATCCATTCTAGCTAATCTAACCAATCAACACCACAGAACCTAGCAAGCTTCATTAACAGAAAAATTGAGTCATCCAGTTAATCCGACCAATCTTACCAATCCTACCAATCTAACGAATCAATATTGACGTATATGACCAGTACAATTTATGTTACTCTAATGATGAAGCTTGGACGTATGACACAGAAAGTATCAAGCTGCATTATCAGAGAGACTGAACCATTGTTCAGTCGTGTGTATGCCATCTTAACGTGAAAATATTTCACAACTTTAGGCTCTCATCGTCGACCAGTTGACCATCAGATGAAGAATTGGAAAGACACCAAATACCAGCAAAACCAAACCCTTACGCTTAACAAGGCTGCACTTGGATTGGAAATCATCCACAAAGTTGGGGATCATGTGAAAAGTTTCGTTAGGTTTCCTGGCTCGGTTTTCGTGTTGTCAAGAATCCGAGATGAAACTGAATATCAAGGTACAAGAATGGGGATATCATTATTAGTATGAATCGGGATCACAAGTTAGCATTGCTGTATCTACTTTGACAAAGAAAACATACGACGATGCATAATTGCCAAACCATTTCGTCAAATTGAAAACAAGGAATAATAAAAACATAAAACGGATTCTCTGTTACTTAGAAACTCCCGCGAATGAAACTGATATGATTATTTGTGTATCACGTAATCACATTCGTAACGCATGGTGTATGATGTTACTTCGAAACGCACGAAGCCTAACGTAACGTAAGAAATTCATTGTATTTGATGGACAAGCAAGTGGTAGGAAGACACATTTGAAGTTAACTCACATTTATTGCTACTGAAGATGCATCAGGCCAACCGGGTTTTAATTTGAAGAAATTTGCATTTCGAATCGTGATGAATAAATAGCTTTCATAAAAATATTATTGCACACAGATTTTTTGCTTCTTTTTTTGTCAGAGTAAGGCCAAAATCTTATAAAAAAGGAAGTTTCTTTAATTAACCTTTGGATACCTTTAAGATATTTTACATAGAGTATTTCATAATGGTAGTTTGTGGTAAAAGAAGATAAATCTATGGTCTTTTAGCATACCAGAGTAAATGAAATTTATCACTTTTTAGTGAAGTTAGTGAAAATTTGCGTCTAGCAATGATATTTGATTTTACATGGCCTTTGCCATACTGTGCACCGGACATGTTTTACGAATAAATTGTATTCAATTTCAGATGAAGGTGTTAACGATGAAGTGTACCCCGGTTATACAGCCGGGTCTTACAACCCGGATGTAGGCACTCGTTATGAATCCGGTCGCCTCTTTCACGGCTATGAGCCTGACTATACCGGTGCTAGGGATAGTTACGGCCAAAACCCAATGATGGGCAGCACCACTTCGTTGGGTGACGGCTTTGCCGTTTCTGAACCGGGAATGAAGGTGGATCAGTGGAGGTTGATGGATGACGCCAATAGGCCTCGTTTCAATCCGGATGAGAGGAAGAAAGCCACTTCTTTCGTAAAACTCAATGAGGAGACCTTGGAACAAGGGAAGCAAAAGCAGCACCAGAACATCAAGAATGATAAGCTTGGCAGTTCCTTGGCTGGTACCGTTGGTGCAGAAAATCGGCAGGCCGACAGCAAAGCTGGCAGTGGAGGTAGGAATTTTTTAACGTTTTTAAATGTTTTGATCTCAATTCAACATTCCTTATTGATTAAACCTGACATTTGACTGGCATTGACATAGAGGGAAAGGAAAACCAAGTTCAGAACGCCTTGTTTCGACTGCTATATCAAAATGAGTAAGGTTATCATGCATGTTGCTGTTTATAAGTGCATTTTGTGAACTATTAGCATTAATATAAGAGTGCATCAGTGCAATCCTGCCTCAACTTGACTTTCTCTCTTACCCGAACCAAATCATGGTTTCCAAAGTACACTTCGATTTGTGCATCTTTCTTAGCTTTTGCAGACCGTGTTCATTTGCCAGAGTGTCGTTTACCATAAGTGCTTACATGGATGAATTTCTTAACCAAGCATTGATTTTTCAGAGATTTAATTGTCTGCCAGTATTTATCTGTCATTAGTAAAAAATCATAAAAATCTGCAAATTTCATTTGCCCTCTCTCAAGGCGTATCTTGCTCGTATTCAGTTTAGAATTCCATAGACCTGCGTTGGTTCATTTGCAGTTTTTTATGCCTCGTATGAAATCCAGGTTGTCTCTCTAGGTTCGTTTGAAGACGGAGCACTTAAGGCCCATAACAAGTTTCGATCAGTTCATGGCAGTCCAAAAATGACATTGGATGACAGCATGTCGAAGGATGCTGAGGCATATGCAAAAGAGCTGGTCGAAAAGCAGAGTTTAGTGCACAGCCCTGACCTAAAAGATGGCGAAAATCTTGCAATGAAATGTACTAGCTCTGGCGAAGAAATGACCGGTCAGGAAGCAACACTCAACTGGTTTGTCTAACTGTTTTACGATTTGTGGGGGGCTTTGTCAAATGCTTTCTCTGCTTGAAATCATATATCATGGGCTGGGAGTGAAGAATCTCTGAGTGCACTGTGAATTTGTCATTTTGAACACATGATCAAGTTTGTCGCAAATGTCATTCCTGTAACATAACATGCTGCAATCTAGTCGCGAATATATTTTCGAACGCAAATTTCGAATGCATTTACTTAAAAACTTAAATCGAGCTGATTTTCCAGACAAATCGAGCTGAATTTCCAACCATATCAAGCTGGTTTCCAACGATACATTATTATTTTTGTTTGATGCTATTTGGAGAAGTAATTATAAGCGAATAAGGGCAGCCTATGAACGGGTATCTCTTTGAATCAGTGCCTTCTTTGAAAAAGTGCCTCCTCAACTGTATAACTTTTATAATCATTTATTGGGGGATTTTCTGGAAATAAGGAGCGCTTGCAAGAATTGTTCAGTAACAGGTTGTTCATTACTGGAGGAAGAAGAAATTTTAAAGAAATTCATTTATTTGATTCCTTGGTAAAGATTAAGCGATTTACTTTTAAAAAATTGTCACAAAGTTCTTGCAGGGTCTTGAAAGCTTGGAAAATTTCTGATTTTTTAAAAAGTGGATCATCCTTGAATTAATCAACTTATTTTTATTGATCTGCTTCGTCAACTTATCAAATTGTTTCTGGCTTTTATTTACTTGCCAAACTCTTTGCTTTGCTACAATTTTCTAAGCGAAGGACGTGTCTTGCAGAAATTGGAACATGTTTTCTGTCGTATTATGCTTGTGCGAGGCCCCATAATCTGGAAATGGACTGCTATTTCTGTTTTAAGTCAGGGAAAAATCATAGAAATGTAAAGGAAGGTCAAGAATAGTCAGGAAAAGTCTGTCAGATATTCTGTGCGAGCTCTTCATTCCAATATGTTTTAGCATAGTGCAAATTTTTTTAAAAAATTTTTTAGGTACAAGGAAATCTGTTCACCTGGCTACGTATTTGGAAGCGAGCAGCCAGGAGGAGCTGGCCATTTCACGCAGGTCGTTTGGAAGAAGAGCACCCAGCTGGGTATTGGAAAGGCAGTTGGCAAAAAGAACGGCATGACCTGTACATATATCGTAGGAAGGTACCGACCGGCAGGGAATTACAAGTCACAGTTTGCTGACAATGTAGTGAAAGGGTCGTTCAATGAAGGCAAGTGTTCGGATCTTGAAAAAGACACCCAGGATATCGACTCTGAAACGGGCACAGGCACTGCGGCATTGCATAGTTATTCTTCGAATTCTGTTTCTAAGCAAAGCAGTGACAAGTTTTCGAAAGGTGGGTTCTGTTTCTTTGTTGATTGAATTGGTCGTTGAATTGCAAAATCATTTTGGCAATTTGTATTTGCAAGATCTAAGAAAATGGCCGTAATGGTAGCCTGAAAAGCTACTTCTGATGGCTTACATCAGTACTCACCTTGAAATGGCTTACATCAGATAAAATGCATTTATTTTTCGTGAAGATATTGGGATTAGAGTAGACTGAATATTTTTAGCGCGTTGCGATGTTATACACAAATAAACTTAGACCCCGTTTACACTGTGCCGGATAAATTTTATCCGCATCAAAATTAGTTCAGATGGGCGTCGCGTTTACACTAAGACCCACGCTATCCTCACGAATTTGAGAGCGGCTATCCAAACAAAATTAGTTCATCTAGGAAAATGGATCAAATTAGTTCGGATAGCTATGTGGTACTGTGTAAACGCTTTTATCCGGATAAATTTTATTCACATCGTATCTTGATCGAAAGCGATTGGCTATTTCATCCAATTTAGTTTGCACTGCCTCCCAATCAAGACCTTTCGCCATCTTGGCTGCCTTTTTGTCGATAAATACTCGTGTTAAAAGTGCAGTATCTTGCCAGTCCATGTAAAATTGGCATACTTGTCAGCTTTCCCTACTTTCGTTGCTAGTTCAGTGTCAATTTGTTTCAAGAACAAACTATTAAAACAAACTAGGCCTAATTTGTATTGATGATTATGAAGAGAGAATGAAGTCTTTTTACATTGGTGGGAATTTTGTTATTATTTTGTTGCCCAGAGAAGACTTCATTTTGGGCGTTATGTGCATGATTTAGGTCATGTGACTGCAGTTATCCGGCACAGTGTAAACGAGAGGGTAAATGGACAAAATTTGTGCGGCACAGTTTAAACGCAAATCAATCCGAGCAAGTTTTATGCGGATAAATTTTATCCGGCACAGTGTAAACTGGGTCTTAATCACTAGAATTTATTAATTTTTAACGCTTGGCTATTTGTCTTTTATAGACCCAATACAAAAGGGTGTTCCAATCATTAAGTTTATTAAGGGTTCTCGAGGGAAAAAGAAGAAAGCAGTCAAGGGTAAAAAGAACTTGAAAGGTAAATTTGGACGAAAGACAAATAAACTTAGGCAAGGGACACAGAAATTTGCTGATAACGGCAAAGTTGGATTCAAAGATATTTCAACGGGTGATAGGAGTCAGAAAGATGGATCTGATGAAGAAGAAGGCGATAAGGATGGAAAGAAAGAGGGCGATAAGGCTGGAAAGGAAGAAGGCGATAAGGCTGGAAAGAAAGAAGGCGATAAGACTGGAAAGGAAAAAGGGGATAAGGCTGGAGATAAAGAAGGCGATAAGGCTGGAGATAAAGAAGGCGATAAGGCTGGAAAGGAAGAGGGTGATAAGGCTGGAGGTAAAGAAGACGATAAGGCTGGAGATAAAGAAGGCGATAAGGCTGGAAAGGAAGAGGGGGATAAGGCTGGAAAAGGGGAAGATGAGAAGAATGGAGACAAAGGAAATGCTGGAAATAGTACGGAAGGTGCTGATGGAGCTGGAAACAAGGCAGCTGAGGAGGATTCCGAGGGACTGTCAGAAGAACCAGGCAATGACTCTGGTGAAGGTCCGGAAAATTTCAAGGAAGAAGGATTGGCCGCTCACAACACTTTCCGAAAGGTGCATGGAACCCCTGCGTTGACATTAGATGAAGGGATGTCAAAGGAGGCTGAGGCCTACGCGCAATTGATTGCGAAGGAGGGCAAGTTATTTCATTCATCATCAAAAGATGGAGAAAATCTCGCAATGGGATGCAATACTAGGAATTTGCAAGTCTCTGCAGCTGAGGCTGTTAAGGATTGGTAAGATTTTAATTAATTATTTGGATTGAACCTTCACAGCCGGATGACGTTGATCACCTGATAACTATATTTATTTCGATAATTTTTCACCACAAGGTATAGTAGTGCAGTTTTTTAGATTTCTAATGAAATGGTCGCAATTGTTGGACCCAGATTTACAGTCTTAAACCACCTAGTTCCTCTGATTCAATTTGGAAAAACACATCTCCTATAGTTGCGAGCACAGTAAAACTGTATCTATAGCAAAATGGTTTTATGAATAATACTCCTTGTTGATTCAGTTTGGGTTCAAAGATTGTGTATCTTTAGTGTATAAAAGTTACTATTTTGAGAAAGAAGATGTGTTTTTTATGATTGTTCAGTCAATGGATCGAAAGGAACCCCCATTTAAGATTTGGGCTTGGCAAACGCTATATGACCAGTTTATAAAAGCTTCCATTATACCGTTGTCTGCTCTCACTTGCGAACAGGTATGGAGAGGTTTGTAAGCCAGGCTACAGCTTTAGTGGGACAAGTGCTGGTGCTGCAGGGCATTTCACACAAGTTGTCTGGAAAGGAAGTTCTCAGCTTGGCATTGGGGTGGCAACAGGCAAAAGTGCTACTGGCCTCTTCTGCACGTATGTCGTTGCGAGGTATCGGCCTCCGGGCAATTTCATTGGTGAATACAAGGAGAATGTTCCCAAAGGCGAATTCAATAAAGATGTTTGCTCGAAGCTTGATCAAATGGCGCAAAACGCTACCAAAGGTACCAGTATTTATATGGCTTAGTCAAGTTAACATGTATCACTTGTTAATCAAGTAATCACTGCATATGAAGTAGCTAATGCTATAAGCAGTTCGCGATTAAGGTCCCAGGGACTCTTTTACCTGACCTCGATTTGGTTTTAAAAAGTATTCGTTTTAGAATTTCTGTTCCCATCAGAATTTCCCAATTTCTGTAAGCGTCAGACTACTTTTCTTAAATTTTAAATAGCTCTTTATGAATAACTTTCTTACCCATCATAGAGAGAATTTTTTAAAGAAAAAGTCTTTCAATATTGTTTTCAGGTCCAGGGGATGAAGAATCTCCTGAGGGGGAATCACCAGAAGAGGAGAAGCCAGACGAAGAGCCAGAAGAAAATGGCGACGCAGAGGATGGAAATGAAAAAGAAGACAAGCCTGATGCGAAACCGGACGAAAAACCGATCGAAAAACCAGATGATAAAAAGGAAGAAAAAGACAAAGAGAAAGATGAAGATAAAGACAAAGAGAAAGACGAAGATAAAGATAAAAATGAAGAATCGCCGGATGATTTTGGCGATAAAGGACTTAAAGCCCATAATATGTATAGAAAGATTCACAAAACACCGGAAATGAAATTGAATGAAAAAATGTCGAAAGAGGCAGAAGAGTATGCAAAGAAATTAGCAGAAGAGAAGAAATTTCGACACTCAGATTCGGAGGATGGCGAAAATTTGGCAATGGGATGTTCCAGTAAGGACGAGGATCTCACCGCGGAGGAAGCCACTGAACACTGGTGAGTTTACAAGAACAAGTTTGAAACTTTTCAAGTAAATTGCTAACATTAATTGCTATTTTTCTTGTATGCTGACTAAACTTGTGACAAGAACTGCAGCAGTTTAATAAGGGTAAAAGAGACGTTGTCATACAGCGATTTTTTGCTTAAAAATACTTAGTAAGTACTTAAGTATGCGATGTTTTTGAATTTCCTTTCCATGGAAGCACATCACTATGTTGAATTTGTTCCATCTGCACTGAGAAGTGGCCACTAGAAGACCTTAAAGTTACGACAGATCTCTTCGGTTTTGGCCTTTTTTCACAAAAAAATTGGATAAGGAAGGTAAATAGGTCATTCGCTTTTTCTCATCCAAATTTTTTTATCCAATTTTCGACTGTTTTGTCATTTGAAGAGCACATTGTGATATTCCATCGGAAGGTCAGAATTGATGTCATAGATGGTCAAAATTAAAAAAATTTAGAAAAAAAACCTTTTTATCTCTCTTATTTGATATTAGAAAAATACTTAAAAAAAATTTCTAACATTCACTGCAAAACATTTTATTCATGTTGTTTTTAAAAACTGTTGTTTATAGCATACATTAATAAGATGATTTTTGAAAACTGTTTGAGAAAACAATAACAGGGTACTGTTTTAGATTTTCTTCAAATGAATTCGGAAGAGTTAACTATTTAAAAATGTTTTTGGGAATTCATACCAGAAAATTCTTTATAAATTATCAAGAATTGAAAAGTCACGACCACTAGAAGTTATTATGCATAGTTTTTACCTAATGTAAAACCATTTAAGTTATTTAGCATGGAATAGTGACAATTTTAAGATCATTGGGCAAGGATGGTCGTCTTTTAATTATATGCTTTGGAATCTGTCTGCATCAAAACCAAGGATTTCGATTTGTGTAGACAGAAAGAGTTCGTTTTCGCTCTCAGCTTCAACTAAGTAAGAGTTTAGCTGCCACTGATTGGTCAAAACAAGGAACCAATCAAACGCACCGTCCTCCACGTGTCATTTGATCCGCATCTGGATATAAATTTCTGCTTAACTTTGGTCATTTCGGACTTTAGACTTTGAAGATTGTCGGATAAAATTGCTTCAGTATGCTGTTGTTGCGACCATGCTATGTTATGATTCCGCTTTTCTGTGCCATCTTCAAATTTTGCGGAACCTAATGTTGGTCTTTTGGATTGATTCTCCCAAAATCGGATACATAAAATCAATTCAAGCCTTTTTGTATTCAAAGGTACAAGGAGGTATGCAAGCCTGGATATCCATTTGATGGTTCAAGCAGCAGCAAGACTGGACACTTCACCCAGGTTGTTTGGAAAGACAGCAAAGAGCTCGGCATTGGAATGGCCAAAGGAAAAAGCGAAAGCGGCATGTTTTGTACCTACGTAGTCGCACGATACAGACCCCCAGGGAATTACAGGGGCAAATACAAGCAAAATGTCGCAAAAGGATCCTTCAAGAAAGACATTTGTGACAAACTGTCTGAAATGACGCAAAAAATTTCAGAAGGTACGTTTAGCTGATTTGATTAAAATGTCTGCCATTATTTTGTCTCACTTACTTTGAATGCATCAAAGATTTATTGTTTTCACCGATATTTTTGAAAAGGAACAAGCAAAGATGTTTTTATTGAAAGAAATTAATCAATTTTATGATACATCTCAGCAAAGCATTCGCAACAGTAAAGGATAAATGAAAAGCATTTTGTGAAACATTTGTTTTGTAAAAGTCTTTATGAAATTTTATAGGTGGCGGTAGAGTGAAAGTAAAAACTGCGCTGTCAAATGCAGTCACAATATCTACAGATGAAAAGCTTGGGAATGTAAATTCTGCCTTTGCAGAAGGCGCTGGGGCCAAAGATGGCGAGCAGGAAGGCAAAGGAGGAGCTGCTGAAGGTGGCAATGATGCAGGGGGCTCTAATAATAGCACAAGTGAAGGGGAAAAGTCTGAAAAGAAACCAGATGATGTTGGTGTAGGGGCAGAGGGAAATCAAGGATCGGATGATATTGGGATACAGGCAGGCGGTGATGAATCGAAAAATAGCACAGGTGGGGCTGCTGGGGCTGGTAAGGACTCTGCAGGTGATGCTGCAGGGGATGGAAATGGAGACAAGGGGGCTGGAGCTGGTGAAGGTGGTGATGATAAGGGAGGTGAGGGTGCAGGCAATGCGGGTGGGGACGAAGAAGGCAATAAAGAAGGGGATAAGGAGAAAGGATCTGAAGATGGAAAAGCAAATGAAGAGCAGGAGTCAGACAAAGGTACTTCTGAATATTCGAAGCAAGGCGCAGATGCACACAATATTCTACGGAAAATTCATAAAACCCCGGATGTGAAGAGTAACGATAAGATGGCAGAAGAAGCAGAAGCTTATGCGAAGGAGCTTGCCGCTACGTTCAAATTTGAGCATTCGAAGTCAAAAGATGGAGAAAATTTGGCGATGAGCTGCAGCAGCAAAAAAGGAAACGAACTATCTGCTGCTGATGCCACCAAGATGTGGTATGTTGACTTTGTTTGTAGGTTTCGTTACAAGTTGGAGATATGTTGTGAGATATAGTGGTGGTTCCATTTTTTGGAAGCAATGGAAAAATGAAAGCTGTTTCTGGAAACCTTCAAATGTTTTCGGTTTCTGTAGATTGAAAATCTTTTAAAAATGATTTTCAAAATTTCTCAAAAATTTTTGTAAAATTTGCTCCAAGTCATCAAGGAAGAACAGTGAAATGTCAAGGAAGCACATGAAAATCATTCATTTGCTCTACACGTTCTTGTTGTATTTCCATATCTTCAAATTGAAAATATCTTCAATTAAACATCGCATTTACTTTCTAGGTACAAAGAGGTCTGTAAGCCCGGTTACAATTTTAAATCCGGCTCCTTCAGCTCGGGTACCGGTCACTTCACGCAAGTAGTTTGGAAAGGAACGAAAGAAATTGGTCTTGGCCGGGCGTCAAACACCAAAGACAACGGAATGGTGTGTACTTATGTGGTTGGAAGATACCGACCGGCCGGTAATTTTATGGGAAAGTTCCAGGAAAATGTGCTTGAAGGAACGTATTCAAATAGCATTTGCGATAAACTGGATGAAATGATGGCAAAAGTAGATAACGGTACGATCTTAATTCTGCTTTGCTTCCTTTTCTCAAGGTTGCCTCTAAATTTTCCATTTATGGCGCTATGGTCTGGAAGACAGGACAGTTTCGAGTTTTACGCTCGATAAGATCGCCCCGGCAGCTGGTATGCATGGAATGGAACATTCTTTGGGAGACCGGTTTATAGCAATCTTCTTTCCGCTATCTGTGAACTTTGAAACTCTTTCCTTATGCTGTCTCTCTCACTATCTGTTTTAATCGGTCCTCCACCAATGCTGCTTAAGTAAAAAGACGGCAATTGTATTTTGCGATAACTTGTTCTTGTAAAAATCTATTTCGTTTCTATTATGCGCTAAATTTATTTTCTTTGGGAATCTTTTCATCTCAAATTCGCTTCATATTATAATGCGTACGTAACTGAGCATGCTCGGAAATATGAAGCTAACTTTGGGGAAGGGATTTTTGATTACGTTGTCAACTGTATATATGTAAGAAATTACAATTAGCAGATTAAATTGCCTTGCCTTTTTTATTTGAAAGCTTTCAAAACATTTTGTGAATGATAATAATAATAATAATAATAATGATAATAACAATGCACTTATAGAGCGCTAAAATGTATATACATATATTCTAAAGCGCTGAACAACTTAGTGTTAAAAACCTTAATTTACAGAAAGTAAAGCTAGAAATGCTGAATGCCATTTTTTTAAAATTAAAAAACCTTTTCAAGGTGGGTCTAAATCTGGAAATGGAAAGAAAATTAGTTTGGGAAACAAACTTCTCAAAGGCATCAGGAACTTCAAAACCGGATATCCACAGTTGAAATATGGTGGCAAAAAGACCGAAAAAGGAGTAAAATCCGGAGGAAAAGGTAGGCTTATTTTGATCGATCTTTCAATCTACAATCCCGGACAAAATTGTTGAGACAAATTGCAAGTTTTGCAATTTTCCACTTCGCGTTGCCCCTTTAAATTTTATTACCCCTTTCCCCCTAATGTTGGATTTGTAGTTTTATCATTTATCCTTCAAAATCATGCATTCAACATTGAATTGGAGGAAGAGGAAAAGTCTTTTTTCAAACGAAAGTGAAAATATCAACTTTTTTTGAAAAGTCTCAACTGTTTTTGTCAGGGGTTGTAGGTATATCGTGCAAACTATCAGTCGCATATGTTGTTCATATGGATGACATGACATATTGCACAGATCTTTCGGTTTTCAAATTCTTCTTCACTACCTCCTTATAAATTTGGTTCAAAGAGGATTAATAACAAAATTATTAAGTTGATAAAAGTTACCCATTATTCACGACTGTTTTGCCTCTTGTTGTGTTTGTGGCATATACGAGAGTTGATATTCTCTTATTTGATATTGCTGCTCCAAATATCAGCGGTAATTTCCTGAATTTGTGCGCTGTCAGTGGATTATATTATTCCTGTATTTTTTTATTTGCCTCGCTCATTTTGCTTCATAATTAATCTTATGCACATATTCATGTTCATAATATCTATCAATTTTTTCTGCTTGGCTTCATGTTTGATATAACATTTTCATAAAATTCAGATTTGACATTTTGTTTCTTCATCATTCCCTTTGGATTTTGGATCTTTGCAAGCCAAGAACGAAGAACTGATTTTAATTGGTGGAAAAACGTGCTACTCTGCTACGTCTCCTTACAAGAAAAACAGCAACATTGTGTTGATATGCTCCAGGCATTCATTTTAAAATTTTTGTTGCAGGAAAATCATTTTCATTTGTAACAACAGAGGAATCCAAAAACGATAAAAGCTTTGAGAAAGGGAGCAGAAATTCAGGAACGGGGAAATTTAACAAAGAACCATCTACAAAAAAATTTGCTGATGATTCTGGCAAAGATGCGGGGGGATCGGGAGGAGGAAGCTTCGCTGAAAATGGTTTAAAAGCTCACAATATGTTCAGAAAGATTCATGGGGCACCAGAGATGAAACTGGATGAGAAGATGTCGAAAGAAGCGGAAGACTATGCAAAGAAACTGGCTGACATGGGAACATTGCAACACGCCGATACTGACTATGGAGAGAATCTTGCAATGAAATGTTCCAGTCAGAAGGGAGAAGAAATGACTGCAGAGGAAGCTACCAAAAACTGGTATGAAGTTAGAAATGGCTTGTATTTGACTAACATAAATGTTTTTCGCAGTAACTATGAAGAATGCATTGCTTTTAGTGGATGTTGTTTGAAGTCCATTTTTCTTCAAGGTACGCCGAAGTTTGTCAACCTGGATATAGTTTCGGTTCAGAGAGTGGCGGAGGAGCTGGTCATTTTACTCAAGTTGTTTGGAAAGGCAGCACCGTTCTTGGAATTGGCAAAGCAAATGCTGAAAAGAACGGAATGTATTGCACGTATGTAGTCGGAAGATACGAAAAGGCAGGCAACTTCATTGGAAAGTACAAAGAAAATGTGGAGAAAGGATCATTTAGCCAAGATATGTGCCAAAAATTAGATGACATGATTTCTGATATTGGATCTGGTAAGTAGCAGTTCGAGTTTCTTTTCTTTTTTCAAATATTGCCAAGATTTTTGCAATCAGTTTTCTGTCAAATTAAAGTCGTGTGCAACTGTTCTGTATATTGGATCTAATGTTAATTTGCAATTGTTCCTTTCTGGAACATCGAGGTATTATCAAGGTGTTTTCAAGTTGTTTTAATCTCAAGGCGAGGAGAAGTCAAGTTAATTTCTGCGGAAAAGGTTATAAAATCTGAAAATTAGAATATAATCAACGATATGTCAAGATAAATAAAGATTTCACTGTTTCCATTCTTTTGTCTGAATTTTACTGTTTTTGTTTTATTTACTTGCTCCAATTGCTTGTTTTTTTCGACTTAGGACTCTGGTTTCGACTTAGAACTGGATTCGAAAGGTTTTCCATAGGTTTCAAAACACATTGTTTTTCAATGAACTGTTTCTTGGCGCCTTTTCGTCTTATAATATTTGCTTAGAATATGACAAAGTAAGTCATCAAAAGTGGGAAATCTTTATAGCCTTGTATTAGTATGTGTGGAGTCAGTCTTAAGTTTGGTAATGAAATAAAGACGTTAGTTTAAAATGTTCTTTTACCTTTTTATATGGTAAATTATAGCATGGTGCGCGAAAACTTTTTTAGCGTTTGATTGGGTTTGAAATCTTTAAAAGCATTAAATTTTTTCGCTAAAATGAACAATATCTTAAAAATAATAGCGGCAAATAAGCATCGATGGTTATGCTATTAACAACTGTAGAAAAATAATAAGATAAATTATCGCTATCTTGTAAAAAGGAATTGGTCGTGCAGATGAAGAAAACTTTCAAACAATTATCAGGTGTATATTGTCAACGGTGTTGGTCGCAGTTGGCGCCAAACTCTTTGATCGAAGAGAGATCACTTCTAACAATGATGTTGCAAACTTGATTTCACAATGGTCATGGTTTTCTGTACGGCTCACTATTTGAACATCAGCAAATCATCGTGAAAATGCCATGTTTTTATGATGATTGAACTCTTTAGAAAGAAGAAATTTTTTTTGCTTGAGTTGGCAAGCCAAGTGCATACTTTACAGTTTCAGTTTTCAGACGAATCATTCATTCATGGATAATTCCAATCTCTTGTGACAGTAGGATGAATTTTGTAAAGTTTAACCATTTTTTAAGTGTTTAAATTATGGACCTTTAACATTAGTCTCTTATGCAATACTCTAATGTTAACATTAGTTCAATACTTGATGACTTTTGAAGGTTGTATTATGTATTATTGTTTTTCTTCAAAGGTATTTTATTTGTGTGCATTATTTTGTTTGACAGGTGGAGATGGTGGCGATAAGAAGGGCCAAAAAGGTGCAGCTTCTAATGGGCAGAAAGGGAAAGGGTTCGATGAAGGAGCAGGGGATGACTCGGGGAAAGGGGATGACTCGGGAGCTGGCGGTGATTCAGGAAAAGGAGGTGACTCCAGTGGCGGTAATGGGTCACCAGGAAGTTTTTCAGAGAGGGGTTTGAAAGCCCACAATATGTTCAGGAAGATTCACGGCGCACCAGAGATGAAACTTGATGAGAAGATGTCGAAAGAGGCGGAAGAATATGCAAAGAAACTGGCTGATATGGGGACGTTGCAACACGCCAATACTGACTATGGAGAGAATCTGGCAATGAAATGTTCCAGTCAGAAAGGAGACGAGATGACTGCAGAGGAAGCTACCAAAAACTGGTATGAGACCCTCGCACTAATTCGCACAAATTCTGCATCTTTTACATACTTGTTTTTTATATTATTGGTGCTTTTGGCTGTATTTAGCAAACATTTTACTTCCTTGTTCGATTTTGCTAAGCAAATTATGTAAATATCAAGAGATGTGTCCTACGCTTCGCTGCTCCTGGTTATTTAATGAAAAGAACTATCTAAGATAAGATCAGATATACTTGACTATCGTTATTATGATGTGCACTAAATATCGTAGAGGGCAATGTAAGACGTTCGGAGAAGAAATTAGATTTGAAGTTGAGATCGAGGTAGGATTCCCGAGAATGTCCAGAGTTTCCAGATGCTAAAAAAGTTATGGCACTAAAAGTTTAATCATATTATCTTTATTTAATTATCTGAATTAATAGAAATGCATTTCTTGAATTTTCCTGAGTAGGACCCTCGTAACCTGAAAAGTTATTTTCACAAATTAGAGATATTTTATGGTGTTTTCTAAGATTACATGGTCAAAAATAAAGAACTCAAAAAAGGTTTTAATGACATTAGCACTTTGCAACTTTTAGGCCCTTTCTTCGCTTAAGATGTATCAAGGCTTCTTTTTATGTTTTCAGGTACGAAGAAGTTTGTAAACCTGGATATAGTTTTGGTTCCGAGGGAGGAGGGGGTGCTGGCCATTTTACTCAAGTTGTTTGGAAAGGCAGCACCGTTCTTGGAATTGGCAAGGCTGATGCTGAAAAGAACGGAATGTATTGCACATATGTAGTTGGAAGATACAAAAAGGCAGGCAACTTCATTGGAAAGTTTAAAGAAAATGTGGAGAAAGGATCATTTAGCCAAGACATTTGCGGAAAACTTGATGAAATGATTGCACCAATAGCATCGGGTAGGTGAAGAAGTAAATTTGCCTTTAGCATAATGCATTAGTTGCATGTTGACAATTTCACTGGGCGTCTTGCTTTTCAGTTCTGTAAATTCCCGCAAGGCTCCACTTTTTCAGGAGTCAGACTATTCTTGATTCACGTTTCAAAGTTAAATTTGAGAAGTGCATACGAACCAAGGACCAAGGATCAATGGCTTTAGTACTATGTTCCTGTCACAAAGGAAAATTTTAATAATGAGTTGGTTTGATGCTGTCTGGCTGTATGGATATCTTGTAGCAAAATATGGTTTAGGGAAGAAAAAATTTTCAAAATCTAGTACCTTATATTTTTTCATGCAGATATACAGATATAGTTTCTATTATAATCCATGATGCCTAAGCAAAAAGGTAGTATATAGGCTAGAGTCGCTTTATATTGTTAAATACACACAAATTTAAGCGCAACATTCATCGCCTTGCATCGTAAAATGCACACACATTTAAGCTTAGTTTTTGTTTTTGCGTAAGGTGTCATGTCATTCTTCTGCAGATGTTGAAAGCCAATTGGCTTGACCAATTCTTCAATACAATTCTTTTTAGAACCAGCTTCATAAATATATGTTTGCTCTGAAACTCACCCAGGATGAGGAACTTAAGAAGTTAACTCGGTCATGTGCAATGAAAGTATTTTAGATCTCCGAACAGCTATGTGTTCAGTGAGCAAAAAGCAAACTTTAAAAAATTTGCTGACTACACTTTTCTGAGCGGTCTATAATACCATTCAAGTTGGGAAGTGAGAGTGATTTTGCAAGGTGATGAATGTGGAATTTTAAACAAGCAAACTTAGCTGAGTGAAAAGTAGTAAAATCAAGTAAAATGTGATTGACGATTCTCGTAATCATGATCAACAAAATATGTCCTAAAGTTTTTGTAGATATGATGCGTCCAATATTTTTATGCAAATCAACTTTGCTAAGGCAATAGGATCGCGAACTGTTCCATTTCAGCGTGAAATTTTTGCCGCATTGGCAAATCCTATAGACAAACTTTGCCATGTGGTTCCCACCCTTCTTCAACTAGACATATGTTTGCGGTACTCAGAGGCTGAGCAGAATTGTCTTAATAGTATGAAAAATCTTGTTCTTTAGGATCAATGTTATGATAAGCATTGTATACTTGCATTTAATAGATTGCTAGCTAATAAGTGTGTTTCCGATGACAAAACCTATAAAAATGCATGATTTTCAAGCTTCCTGCACACCTATAAAGATCCCAATTTAATGTCTACGTCATATCGAAGGCTCTATTTGTGACAAAACTTTTCAATCCTTTCTAAGTTGTTTGTATCTACTGCACTAAAATCGGGATAAGAAATGAGTTCTTGTCATTTTCAAAAAAATAGTTTCTATTTCTTTCGTCTGTATGTTTTACAAGATCTGAAATAATAAAGCAATAATGCTTGCTTTTCAGGTGGTGAAGGTGGTGACAAAGATGGAGGCAACGGAGGTGACAATCCAGATGGGGGTCAAGGGGGTGATGATCAAGGGGAGAATGGAGATGGACAGAATGGTGCGGATTCAGGAAAAGACGATGGAGGAAAGGATGATGGAGGAAAAGACGATGGAGGAAAGGACAAGGGGAACTCTGATGGAGGTGGGGAAGGCGGAGGAAGCTTCGCAGACAGGGGTTTGAAGGCCCACAATATGTTCAGGAAGATTCACGGGGCACCAGAGATGAAACTTGACGAGAAGATGTCGAAAGAAGCGGAAGAATATGCAAAGAAACTGGCTGACATGGGAACATTGCAACATGCCAATACTGACTATGGAGAGAATCTTGCAATGAAATGTTCCAGTCAGAAAGAAGACGAAATGACTGCAGAAGAAGCTACCAAAAACTGGTAATGTATTGCGATTGAACACTACATGTAGCAATCAAAGAACACTTTCTCATTTAAAGTGCAAAGTATTGGTTTTCAGTATCAAATGTATTCATCCTGCATGCTTTTCAAAGACTTTTATTTCAATTTCAATGGTTGACAGATTTGATCAATCAGAGCTATGGCCGGTCAAAAATTTTTCAAATCACAAACATTCAATCGAGATCTCTATGGCTTTTGAATTTCTACATCTACGGCAATGATAAAGGTATAAGATGGAAGCTCTGTATTGTACGTAAAAATTACAAGCACTTAATGTCCCCAAATTTAATAAAAAATCAGGTCACCAAGATTCCAATTGTTGGCCAAGCACAAGCAGCACCTTATGTTCTCATGAGTTTCGGTTAAATCAACGCAGAATGTTCTAGAATGGGGTTAGGAAGTCTTGCAATACCATCGCAATATTTTGACCGCCGGTCGGAACTAGTTATGTTCGCTGAACCCCTTTTATTTGCTTTTTACATTAATTAAAGCTTGAAAACACTGGTGTATCAAACAGGACGGTAACAAGCTGCAACTCCGAATTTCACTAATGGATGTTATGTGAAATATATATAAATAAGCACAAAAATTAAAGTTACCTGAAGACTTCCGTTTTCTAATATTGCTCTAGATGAGTTCTTGAAAGCTCTTGAGTTCTTAAAGAAAAGTTAGCCTTTTTGGATTCACCCTTGGTCGATGCTAATGTACGTAGGACGACCTCTTTCTTGCTTGAAAAATACTGAGATATCTGATGTTACAAGAATTCAGTGAAACTTAGGCTACTTCACCCTCACAATCTAAACCCTTCATCCATCTCCCAAATCCTGCACAAAAGGTCGCTATTGTAACATCAGATGTCTCAGTGTTTTTCAAGCAAGAAAGAGGTCGTCCTACGTACATTAGCATCGACCAAGGGTGAATCCGAAAAGGCTAACTTTTCTTTAAGAATTCTTTTCTGGGTTTACCAAAGTAACATCTGCACTTCTTTTTCTGCACCACCCTTATACAATTACAAGAAAATCAGATTCTTATGAATCAGCCTATTCCTTGTCAATCTTTGCCAAAGAAATTTGTAGAACCACAAGTTAGATTTTTAAAAAGGTACACAGAAATTATTTACAAAGGTACACATGGTTATAAGAGAAATTAGCTGTACCAGATAATTTGGAGTAATGTTAATGAAAACTTACCTGTTTAATATTAGAATGGATGTAAACACATATGGGACTTTTTCATGGCCTAAATTATCATTTCGAAGTAAGCCAGCGAATTTTTTTTTTCTAAAAACGATATTTTTCACCAGTATCGTCAAGGTATCAGCAACCTTATAGTAATAGCATGTTGCATGTTTTGTTTGAAGATTTTGAAGTGCCACAAGTCATGACTATTTTTCTTCCAGGTATGAAGAAGTTTGTAAACCTGGATATAGTTTTGGCTCGGAGGGAGGTGGAGGAGCTGGCCATTTTACTCAAGTTGTTTGGAAAGGCAGCACCGTTCTTGGAATTGGCAAGGCTGATGCCGAAAAGAACGGAATGTATTGCACATATGTAGTTGGAAGGTACAAAAAGGCAGGCAACTTCATTGGAAAGTACAAAGAAAATGTAGAGAAAGGATCATTTAGCCAAGATATGTGCCAAAAACTCGAGGAGATGATCGCACCCATTGGAAATGGTTTGTTGAATATTTTTATTTTGTTTATTTTTAGCATTATTAACACCCTTCTTTATGCAATCTAGAAACACAATTTTAAACATTTTGCATACTGATTCAAATAAAAATCTTCTTATATCGTAGAAAATATTTTTAGTTTTAATGTTTTGGTAAATCTTTATGGATGATTGACAGGGGAGGGGTTTGGTAGAAAATGTGTGCATTCTTGTTGATATGCTTGCCCAAAACATTAGTATTGTTTTAATAAGTACGTCATTTTATATCATTTTAATCATGCTTATATTGAATATATTATAAAACATAAATTTTTGAATTATTATTCACATAACAATGCACTAGACTAGAACGGCCATCGTTTCCCAATGTGAATGGTTTACAGAGGTTCAAGAACAATGAACTATCGTCCTTTTTTTGTCTTCCGATATTGTAGCAATATTAGTATAATTTTAGAAGCAAAGTGTTTGACATATGTCTTTCCCTTCATCAAAAGCTGCTTTTTAAAAGACCTTTTTACCTCTATACACCCGGAGCTGACTTTCTCTTTTTCAATAACTATCTTTATACTGACTGGACTGCACAACAAAGAATTTATGTTTTTTCTTCTGAAGCAGTCGTTTAAAAAATGCATACAATGTGAACTTGGTATTTTTTAGGTAACAGTAAAGCCAAACACTCTTCTGGAAAAGGAAAACATTTTGCCAAGAGCAACGGCACAATCACGCTTGGTGAAGCTTTAAATGGTTTGTTTTTTGACTTCATTCCTTTTGTTACTTTGATGTCTCTTCCATATAGCTTTTGAGTCTGTCTTTTGACTAGGAAAATTGTGGCCTTAAATTTAAATAATTATTTTTGAAAAGAGGCTATTAAAAGGAAAGAGAGATTGTTCAGTTAAAAGTTTATGTTTGTCTTTCTTTGAATTTTTTTTTTATTTTGTTAAAAAACAACGAAGAGTTGTATGTGGTTAATAGCTTTAATTAAAAGAGCCAATATTTATATTTTTTCTTTAGAAAAGTCTAGAAATATTTTGAAGAACGGAAAAGCAACTGGTGCAGTTGAGGGGTTTTCGTCAGAATACAAAAGCTCAAGTAAGAAAATCACAGACAGCAAACTTCAAGGGAAGAAGGCAAAATATTTTGCCTCTGATGACAAAGGTGGTGAATCTGGAGGAGGAAGCTTCGCTGAAAACGGCTTAAAAGCCCATAACATGTTCAGAAAGATTCACGGCGCACCAGAGATGAAACTTGACGAGAAGATGTCGAAAGAAGCGGAAGAATATGCAAAGAAACTGGCTGACATGGGAACATTGCAACACGCCGATACTGACTACGGAGAGAATCTTGCAATGAAATGTTCCAGTGAGAAGGGAGAAGAAATGACTGCAGAGGAAGCTACCAAAAACTGGTATGAAATTAGAAAATATTCATTTGACAAAACTAAATTGCTTAACAACTATTTTAAGAGTTCACTGCTATTAGCGAATCTTGCCTGAAGTCCATTTTTCTTCAAGGTATGCTGAGGTTTGTCAACCTGGATATAGTTTCGGTTCAGAGAGTGGCGGAGGAGCTGGTCATTTTACTCAAGTTGTTTGGAAAGGCAGCACCGTTCTTGGAATTGGCAAAGCAAATGCTGAAAAGAACGGAATGTATTGCACGTATGTAGTTGGAAGGTACGAAAAGGCAGGCAACTTCATTGGAAAGTACAAAGAAAATGTGGAGAAAGGATCATTTAGCCAAGATATGTGCCAAAAATTAGATGACATGATTTCTGATATTGGATCTGGTAAGTAGCAAGTGAAGTTTTTTCTTGTCTCCAATTTTAGCAAAATGTTTCCTTTTAAGCAATAAAATATCTAAGAACAGGTCATTTAGCCAAAATACTTGTCAAAACGTTAATGATAAAATATTAGATAGACCAGGTACTATTATAACAAGATTAGGAAACTATATTTTTCTTAGTTCAGCTTTTAGATTAATAAGTGACAACGTTCGAGTTTGAAAGATTTTCATTAGCATTAACAAAACTGATGTTGTGTTTGATATTCATAGTTAAAAAAACTAATTAACACGATCTATCAAAATATGTTTTCGGTAAAACAACTAAATTAAGTGCCAATGTAGCACATACTATTGTTTCCATCCCTTATGTTGTTTTTTGAATTTCATAAGGCAAGCTGTTAATTTTAAATTATCACTCAGAAATTTCTACAGATGGCTACCTCTTAAGGTTAGGGAATTTTTTTCTGTTTTGCGGAGAACCCAATGAGGGGAACTTGCTTCATTTCTTAGTATGAAAGTTAATAATTGACTTATTGTCAAGTCCATGCTAATTTCAAATGAAGATATCTTAAAATTACTTCAGCCAAAGTAAGCTGGAGCGACAAGACCATCACCTGCACCCTCTAGCTGGGTTTCTTTTGATTTTGTCTTTTAATAGCATCTAAAATTGGGAAACGAGACATCGTTGTTATTTTGTTCAATAACTGAAGGGAAAATCCTTTGTGTAAATTTTAAAGACTTTTCATATGAAGTTCCAATGATTTTCAAATAAATCTACTTTTTAGAAAGGTACTTTTGAAATGAAACATTGTTTTTACTTCATTTCAACATCAGAAGAAATGACAATGATATGACTTCAACGACTAGTTTAATTGCATGGTTTAATAAATCCAGATTTTTATAGTTAATTTTAGCCAAAAGGGGGACATTTTTCCAGGCTTTATTGCTTTAAGGATCTATAATGTATAGTAGCGTTCAAATCGTAAAAAATAGATTTTGATCCGGATCTAGGAGTATAGTTTTCGTTTTGCTTATAGACGAGAATGAAGAATAACTTTTTAAAACTCTGTAACTTTCCATTATGGCAATTAAGACTTAATGCTAGATTTATAGCAAAATTTCCACCTTTTGTCTGCTTAGGTGTCATGTATCAGCCATATGGAAAACTTTGAGCGGAGGCCATAAAATTAAATGAAAAATTCATATTCGCTTACAAAAATTTTTTTCAGGACGTTATCAATACTCGAAATTCAAAAGAGTTTCTTGATTTTCTTTCGTTTCAATAAAAACAATCCTCTTATTCAGGAGGAGATGGTGGTGATCAGAAAGGCAAAGCTGGTGCAGCGAACAATGGAGAGAAAGGTAAAGGTTTCGCTGAAGGGGATGACTCGGGAAAAGGGGATGACTCAGGAAAAGGGGATGACTCGGGAAAAGGGGATGACTCAGGAAAAGGAGATGACTCGGGCGGAGACGGGTCATCAGGAAGCTTCGCTGAGAATGGTTTGAAAGCTCACAATATGTTCAGAAAGACTCATGGTGCACCAGAGATGAAACTTGACGAGAAAATGTCGAAAGAAGCGGAAGAGTATGCGAAGAAACTGGCTGATATGGGAACATTGCAACACGCCGATACTGACTATGGAGAGAATCTTGCAATGAAATGTTCCAGTGAGAAGGGAGAAGAAATGACCGCAGAGGAAGCTACCAAAAACTGGTATGAAGTTAGAAATGGATTGTATTTGACTAACATAAATGTTTTTCGCAATAACTATGAAGAATGCATTGCTTTTAGTGAATGTTGTTTGAAGTCCATTTTTCTTCAAGGTACGCCGAGGTTTGTCAACCTGGTTATAGTTTCGGTTCAGAGAGTGGCGGAGGAGCTGGTCATTTTACTCAAGTTGTTTGGAAAGGCAGCACTGTTCTTGGAATTGGCAAAGCAAATGCTGAAAAGAACGGAATGTATTGTACATATGTAGTTGGAAGGTACGAAAAGGCAGGCAACTTCATTGGAAAGTACAAAGAAAATGTGGAGAAAGGATCATTTAGCCAAGATATGTGCCAAAAATTAGATGACATGATTTCTGATATTGGATCTGGTAAGTAGCCGTTCGAGTTTCTTTTCTTTTTTCAAATATTGGCAAGATATTTGCTATTAGAAAAATAGATTTCTGAAAAAGGATCATTTTGCCAAGATTATTGCCAGAAGTTGGCTGAAGTTATTTCTAATATTACCTGCAGCCAGTTTTGATTTCAATTTTTGAGATTGTCTAAGTAATAGGCATTTTGATAAGAGGAAAACTATAAAATGCAAAATAGATGCATCCATATTAATTTGGCATAGTTATTTTGTTTTGGTATCTAGAACAAGTTATAATTTCACATAAACATTTTTATTTGCTATTAAGCGATGAATCGGTTTGTTATGAAATTAAATGTTTCTAGAAATCAAGGCTTAGTGTGTTCAGGCCTGAAATGCCTGAATCTTTTCCATCGACACTGATTGATTGATTTGATCATAATTAATCGCCACTGGTTTGGCAAACTTTACAGTCGTATACTTGCATTTCTAATTGCCCCTTTTCTTTCCACAATTATGTTTTTATATTTCTTAACTTAACTTAGATTTTGATCATTACTTCGAAGTTTTAAGCTATAAAGATTTGCGGTTGAACAGCTTTACTATGTCTTAACATGTCTGCTTTTGAGGCATTTGAAAATTTTGCCCCGCAAAAAAATTATTCCTTCTTCTTCTCTATAGATTTTAAATGTTTATATCTGCTTCAGGAAATAAAATTTTAAATCTAATTTTCAAACGCATCACGTCAAATAGCAATAAGCACTGAAGACTGTGGTATCCCTGAACGTATAAAACTTCATTCGTGTTCAGTCTTCTTCCTTTTTTGCTTAACCTGAGCTCATTCTTCGATTAATGTTTTTGCACTTTTCTTAAGTAATTGTTTTAAAACACCCAGCATTTAAGGGAATCCATTTTTTCAGGTGGCAGTAAAAGCAAGCACACGTCTGGAAAAGGAAAACATTTTGGCAAGACAAATGCCAAAATTACGCTTGGTGAAGCCTCAGACGGTTTGTTCTTCTATTATTCCTGTTTTTTCGTTTGATTGATCTACCACAGATGCCTCAATTCAATATATTTCATTAATGACGATTTTGCTAAAGATACGTGTTGAAACTATTGTGGTTGGAAGGTGGTGCAACAACCTAAGCTACAGATTTCAAATTTTGAAGTGTTTTTGTGGAACCAATTTTCAAGCACATCTTCTTCAACTCTTATAGAGCAGAAACATTGACTTTCTCTCAAATTTTTCACAAATGAAAATTGTGTCAAACGAGACCAAACCTTTCAGAGCATATTGGGGACTTAGGTCTAGTGACATTCAACAGCGCAAAAAAGTATTAAAGCTAATTTTGAATATGTAAACAAACATTGTCTTCATTACCCTAAAACTCGTTGTGATCATTTGAGAACTTTTCCAGTTTTTTTTCAGTTATAAATGACTTTCTTCCAATCTACTTTAAGAAACTTGAAATGTAATCTAAAGCTGATTTCAAAACCGAATAACGGAGAGCCAGGAGATTTATACGGAATGAAACTGGAAATTCTGTTTTCTTTTGGCCTCTATAAGTTTGGATTTTTGTTCTTAAAAAGATTTTGATATCTGATTTAAACTTGCAAGAAAATTTTAGTGTAGAGAAATGTCTTAAGATTTTTCAAAAAGTATCTTTTACAAATAACCTTGATTTTTGGCAGTCTTAAAAACACTGAATATTTAAAGAACATTGGTTTTGACGGTACCGTCAGATGACTTTAAAACAATGGAAAATAATTTCTACGACATTAATGTTTCAATTCGAGACGCGATTCTTTGGGAAGGCAAAACATATCTTAGCATCAACAACATCGATCTCTGTTAGAACCAGAATATCCATGAGTGAAAAGAACTGGCTTGGTCTGGATACAGAAAACTGCGCAAAAAAATATGGTTTAATCTCAAAAGCATTTAAACAATCATTTTGTTACAATGGGTCCAAAACCAGCCAGCAGGTGGAAGAATATCTATTGCAGTACAGGATCTCCTTGTTCAACCCCTTTCTACCGAAGTCAGGGAATGAAGATCTTGCCATGAAGGAGTTCAATGGACCAAAGGCATCATAAAGTTCGAAATTCCTTGGGCATAAGAATATTCTTGTTAAAATGATAAAAATGCCTTTGAAATATTTGACAAATTCATTTCTCGTGGTTACAGAGTCATGGCTCACAAATATCGATACAAGTAAGAATGATATGAGTGTGTTGCTGAACCTACAAAAGACCTTTGATACGGAGAGACATGACATGCTTCTATCAACTAGCTTTTTGCGGCATTGTTGGATGACCTGGTCGATATTTCGCATCCTATCTAACAAGGAGAAAACAAAACTACCAAATTGACGGTTAAAAGCTCTTGTGTTCAATGTTTTCAGTAATAATTTGGCTGTAATGAAATTTTAAATGCTGCTCAACACGGTTCCAATTCTTTGTATAAATATTTTAGGGTATATTTTTGTTAAGTTTTCTTTAAAGTACTTTTCCCCGTCTGTGAAAATTACAACTAACAGCAATTAGAATGTGGCAATTTAACTTGAAAGTATCACAATCTTATTTTGTTTCAGACAAGTCTAGAAATATTTTGAAGAACAGAAAATCAACTGGTTCAATTGAAGGGTATTCATCAGAATACAAAAGCTCAAGTAAGAAAATTACAGACAGCAAACTTCAAGGGAAGAAGACAAAATTTTTTGGCTCTGATGGCAAAGGCGGTGAATCTGGAGGAGGAAGCTTTGCTGAAAACGGCTTAAAAGCCCACAACATGTTCAGGAAGATTCACGGCGCACCAGAGATGAAACTTGACGAGAAAATTTCGAAAGAAGCGGAAGAATATGCAAAGAAACTGGCTGACATGGGAACATTGCAGCACGCCAATACTGACTATGGAGAGAATCTTGCAATGAAATGTTCCAGTGAGAAGGGGGAAGAAATGACTGCAGAGGAAGCTACCAAAAACTGGTATGAAGTTAGAAATATATTGTATTTGACAAAAAATTACTTTTATCAACAACTATGAAGGAAAAAAAAGTTATTATTTGGTCTGATCTGAAGTCAATTCTTCTTCAAGGTACGCTGAGGTTTGTCAACCTGGATATAGTTTCGGTTCAGAGAGTGGCGGAGGAGCTGGTCATTTTACTCAAGTTGTTTGGAAGGGCAGCACTGTTCTTGGAATTGGCAAAGCAAATGCTGAAAAGAACGGAATGTATTGCACGTATGTAGTTGGAAGATACGAAAAGGCAGGCAACTTTATTGGAAAGTACAAAGAAAATGTGGAGAAAGGATCATTTAGCCAAGATATGTGCCAAAAACTTGATGACATGATTTCTGATATTGGATCTGGTAAGTTGCAATTGAATTTTCTTATGTTTTCGCAAATAGTGGCAAAATTTTGGTTTTTCGCCGATCAAATATTGGAGAAAAGATCCCTAGGCACATTTTTGTCAAAATATGGACAGGATTACTAATATGGGAATATGATTTCTAATAACTGTTCGATTAGGTTCGAACAACATGACTATGTAAAGAAACCATATTTTCCTCCATCTATAACTTTTAGATTGATATTAATTTTTAGTCTAAAATAGCATTTTCAGACTATATATTCAAGTTTTATTTACTGATGTTTGAAGCGCACCCTTTTTTTCTCTTCTTGTTCCTCGCTTTACTTGAAACTGGTTAACTTTTGAGTATTCCAGTAATTTTGCATTTATGCAGCCTGCTATTCTGCAAAAACCTGAGCAAAAGAAAATAAAATAGAATACTAGAGTATCAAGAGTGGTAGGTGAGCCTATCTCGCCTTCCGGTCAAGTACCACGGCTCTGTCGCTTTCAATACTATGATAGCGTTCCCGTTCTTTGTGGTTGGTGAATTCGCTGTGGTTGGGGGCTACATCAACTATGTTATTCTGATCCTTGGCTGTTCTTGAGGGTACCAATGCAAAGTATGCACTGCAGGCCTGTCATCAGATATTACAGAGGGCCAAGCCCATTGGTTGCGCTTTGGGAGGCTGCCTTAGTAGGCTGCTAGTCAGTCCGCGACTGGAGCCACTTCCATCTCACAGTTCTAGAAGACCGTTCTGAGGCAATATGACGCATGAAGGGTCTCTCTGACGCATTCACCTAGCTACTGCTTCTGCCATTGTGAATAAACCAGTCATTCCTCCTCCTTTACTCTCGTTAGGGCTTATCTAAAGGCTTTTGAGCCATTCCTTAGCAATGCCAACTAGTAAATCGTCGTTGCTATATGTTTGGCGCACATTCCCTTGCTAGTGCATCCTGCACAACATTTTTGCAACTAAGGATAGGACAGGTTGGAAGAAATTAAGGCATAAATAACCCAAAAAGGCCTATCGACGTACGTTATAAGAGAAAAGGAATTTTTAAAAGTTTGCCGTTGAGTTTTGAGGGTAATAATCTTGTTGGAGTATATCCAATTCGATCAAAATTCGCCAAAACAAACGGAATATCTTCTCCTTTGCATGAAGTTTTCAAAAAAGTTTCGAACAATTGCTGTACTTATTTCCTATGTCAGCACAGAAGGGAAGTCATATTTTAGTAAGTCCCTTCCTTGTTTGGTAAATCATTGTTTGTATCTGTTCCTTATTTAGTAGATCACAGTCTACGTCCATTCCATATTTAGTAGATCACGGTTTATGTCCATTCCTTATTTGGTAGATCATAGTTATGTCCATTCCTTATTTGGTAAATAGACTAAGTTGATAATTCATTACATACATCCGGTTCATCGAAGTGCTGGACTCCATCCACGACTAGTTCATTGTTCAGCTTGGGTTGAAACCATGACGCAGCCCTTTATAAAAAGGATCTTTCTACACCTAAATAAAAAGCTTGAATTGTAATTTGCACAATTGGGATAAGATCAAAATTCAGAATATCGGGATTTGTTTGTCAAAGAGAAGAATTTTTCTCAAGGCTACGAAATCTACTAATATCCGCAACGAAAAGCTACTTTTTGCTTTGATGTTGGCAGTTAAATGATCAAAAATCAATTTTCGTCAAAAATGGGAAGATTTAGGACGCAAATGTAACAGATATTTATGAATAATTTGTGATTTATCGTTGTTAGAAACTGTGAAGTAAGCAATTAAAGTTGTTTTTACTTTTTAGGACCATTCTTTCACCTGACGCGCGTGTTAGCCATCAATAACAAGCGATACTGAAAGGGTTGTGCAAAAGTGCAAGAATTTCCTGTAATATATTATGTTTATCACTAGAATGTCAGGTCTTGGATTCATTTTGTTTCTATAAAAAACGAACCTGTTTTGCAGGAGGAGATGGTGGTGATCAGAAAGGCAAAGCTGGTGCGGCGAACAATGGAGAGAAAGGAAAAGGGTTCGCTGAAGGGGATGACTCGGGAAAAGGGGATGACTCGGGAAAAGGGGATGACTCAGGAAAAGGAGATGACTCAGGAAAAGGGGATGACTCGGGCGGAGACGGGTCATCAGGAAGCTTCGCTGAGAATGGTTTGAAAGCTCACAATATGTTCAGAAAGACTCATGGTGCACCAGAGATGAAACTTGACGAGAAAATGTCGAAAGAAGCGGAAGAATATGCAAAGAAACTGGCTGACATGGGAACATTGCAACACGCCGATACCGACTATGGAGAGAATCTTGCAATGAAATGTTCCAGTGAGAAAGGAGAAGAAATGACCGCAGAGGAAGCTACCAAAAACTGGTATAGGATTTTTTACCCACCGTATTTTGTAACATCAAAGAAAGTATTTTTGGGATCAAAAAATTATTTTTTTAAAACCTTAAGAAATTATGTTTGCAATTTGGCCCCGTTTTTAGACTGTTTTTGAAGTTTTTTAACGCAATGCTTGACAAAAAAACCAAATGAGAAATGACTTTATTTCTGAAAAGCGTAACGACCGAGTTCTATTTTCATTCCACTTGATTGAAAATCGATTTCTTTTTTTGTTACTAATTTAAAAAATAAATAATTTTTTTTGCGTATGCAGTTAAATAAGGTTAACTAGAAATAATATAAATGGTGGACTTCTTTCAAATTTTCAATTCTGTATTAGTTTTAGGGCTTTCCAGTGATTTCGCTATATTCAAAGCAAACTCTTTAGGAAGTGATCAAGATTCCTGCATTCTTCATTCTTACTAACAGACTACCTGCTTGCTGCAAGATTTGGCAAAGTTTAATGTATGAAGCTTTTTTGCAGGTATGCTGAGGTTTGTCAACCTGGTTATAGTTTCGGTTCAGAGAGTGGCGGAGGAGCTGGTCATTTTACTCAAGTTGTTTGGAAGGGCAGCACCGTTCTTGGAATTGGCAAAGCAAATGCTGAAAAGAACGGAATGTATTGCACGTATGTAGTTGGAAGATACGAAAAGGCAGGCAACTTCATTGGAAAGTACAAAGAAAATGTGGAGAAAGGATCATTTAGCCAAGATATGTGCCAAAAATTGGATGACATGATCTCTGATATTGGATCAGGTGAGTAGCAATTGAAGTTTCTTTTCTTTTTACAAATATTGGCAAGATGTTTCCTATTAGCAAATTAGGTCATGAGAAAGGATCATTTAGCCAAGATGTGTGCCGACTATTAGATGAAATGATTTCTGATATAGGATCGAGTATGTAGGAAGTAAAGTATCTTAGTCAACAATAGCAAGGTGTTTGCTTTAAGGCAGTTGGATACCCAAGGGTGGGTCACGAAGCCAAGGTATGTGCCCGAAATAGGATGACATGATTGCACCAACCAGATCTGATCTGTTATACTTTTCAATTGTTCAAGTTTTTTTAACATTTTTGAATATTGATTTTAAATATTTTTTGTATTTCTTTAGCTCTAGTAGGATAAGCACAAACATGACCTATACTTTGTAACCTTTTTGTTTCAAAGCTTTTATCATGAGATTGCTAAGTAAGTCGAGTTGATCTAGACTTGATAATATTTCTCGTGTAAACTTTCAAGACTTTTCGGTTTAAGGCTAATAAAGTGACGATGGCTACTACCAGCTCCTAGCTATGACTACACCTTAAAACGCCTGTCTTTTGATGATCACTTAAAAATTGAATGTATAATTTAGATTTCAGAAATAACATGGTCAACTTGAAAACCTAAATTCCTCTCTTATTCTCAGTCTCTCCTTTCTTGCTTAGCAAAGTATTGTTTGTTACTTTTCTTTGAGAAAAAAACGTTTCCCTTCTGTGATACCTAAAGCTTTTGAACAAATATAATTTGAGTGTACCGCATTTGCTTTAGGCGGTAGTAAAGGCAAGCACTCTTCTGGAAAGGGGAAGAAGTTTGCCAAGTCCAATGCAACAATTACGCTTGGTGAAGTTTCAAATGGTTTGTTTTTTAATTTTTTCCTTTTCATATTTGATGCCTGCTCGATCGATACTTTTATCTTGCTGGTTTTTTCAAAGTTATGCACGAGACACGTTTCGACGTTTTTGCGAATTGTCTAATTAGCGTAGTTCACATAACTCAAGCTTTGAAAGTTCTTTAACAAGGTAAGGGACGTCTTCTGGAACCAATAATCTGTTTAACTTTTGTAGAACGATGCAAACTCGTGTTTGTTTTTGTGCTCCGTGAAATGAGGTTTATTCACAAATTTCCAGGAAAATAATGATATTTCTGAAAAGAAGCTCGTGCCTTCAAATCCTTTTAAACACAATCAGAGACGGGAGACCTTCTAATAAAAGCTAAGCAAGCGAAAAAAGTAATTAAACTTAATGTGTTAATGTAGCAACTACGCTCGCTATCACAATTTTAGAGGCAAAATCTTCAAATCCAATTTTGATTATTGAAAAGTAATGCTTTTTGTCATATTTATTCTTTCTTCAGAAAAATCTAAAAATATTTTGAAGAACGGAAAAGCAACTGGTGCAGTTGAGGGGTTTTCTTCAGAATACAAAAGTTCAAGTAAGAAAATCACAGACAGCAAACTTCAAGGAAAGAAGACAAAACATTTTGCCTCTGATGACAAAGGCGGTGAATCTGGAGGAGGAAGCTTCGCTGAAAACGGCTTAAAAGCCCATAACATGTTCAGGAAGATTCACGGCGCACCAGAGATGAAACTTGACGAGAAGATGTCGAAAGAAGCGGAAGAATATGCAAAGAAACTGGCTGACATGGGGACATTGCAACACGCCAATACTGACTATGGAGAGAATCTTGCAATGAAATGTTCCAGTCAGAAGGGAGAAGAAATGACTGCGGAAGAGGCTACCAAAAACTGGTATGAAGTTAGAAATAAATTGTATTTGACTAAAAGAATTTTTTCACTAACAACTTTGAAGTAAATAGTTTTTAGTGAATGTTGTCTGAAGTCCATTTTTCTTCAAGGTACGCCGAGGTTTGTCAACCTGGTTATAGTTTTGGTTCGGAGAGTGGCGGAGGAGCTGGTCATTTTACTCAAGTTGTTTGGAAGGGCAGCACTGTTCTTGGAATTGGCAAAGCAAATGCTGAAAAGAACGGAATGTATTGCACGTATGTAGTTGGAAGATACGAAAAGGCAGGCAACTTTATTGGAAAGTACAAAGAGAATGTGGAGAAAGGATCATTTAGCCAAGATATGTGCCAAAAATTGGATGACATGATCTCTGATATTGGATCAGGTGAGTAGCAATTGAAGTTTCTTTTCTTTTTACAAATATTGGCAAGATGTTTCCTATTAGCAAATTAGGTCATGAGAAAGGATCATTTAGCCAAGATATGTGCCGACTATTAGATGAAATGATTTCTGATATAGGATCGAGTATGTAGGAAGTAAAGTATCTTAGTCAACAATAGCAAGGTGTTTGCTTTAAGGCAGTTGGATACCCAAGGGTGGGTCACGAAGCCAAGGTATGTGCCCGAAATAGGATGACATGATTGCACCAACCAGATCTGATCTGTTATACTTTTCAATTGTTCAAGTTTTTTTAACATTTTTGAACATTGATTTTAAATATTTTTTGTATTTCTTTAGCTCTAGTAGGATAAGCACAAACATGACCTATACTTTGTAACCTTTTTGTTTCAAAGCTTTTATCATGAGATTGCTAAGTAAGTCGAGTTGATCTAGACTTGATAATATTTCTCGTGTAAACTTTCAAGACTTTTCGGTTTAAGGCTAATAAAGTGATGATGGCTACTACCAGCTCCTAGTTATGACTACACCTTAAAACGCCTGTCTTTTGATGATCACTTAAAAATTGAATGTATAATTTAGATTTCAGAAATAACATGGTCAACTTGAAAACCTAAATTCCTCTCTTATTCTCAGTCTCTCCTTTCTTGCTTAGCAAAGTATTGTTTGTTACTTTTCTTTGAGAAAAAAACGTTTCCCTTCTGTGATACCTAAAGCTTTTGAACAAATATAATTTGAGTGTACCGCATTTGCTTTAGGCGGTAGTAAAGGCAAGCACTCTTCTGGAAAGGGGAAGAAGTTTGCCAAGTCCAATGCAACAATTACGCTTGGTGAAGTTTCAAATGGTTTGTTTTTTAATTTTTTCCTTTTCATATTTGATGCCTGCTCGATCGATACTTTTATCTTGCTGGTTTTTTCAAAGTTATGCACGAGACACGTTTCGACGTTTTTGCGAATTGTCTAATTAGCGTAGTTCACAGAACTCAAGCTTTGAAAGTTTTTTAACAAGGTAAGGGACGTCTTCTGGAACCAATAATCTGTTTAACTTTTGTAGAACGATGCAAACTCGTGTTTGTTATTGTGCTCCTGAAATGAGGTTTGTTCACAAATTTCTAGGAGAATAATGATATTTCTGAAACGAAGCTCGTGCCTTCAAATCCTTTTAAACACAATCAGAGAGGGGGACCTTCTAATAAAAGCTAAGCAAGTGAAAAAAGTAACAAAACTTAATGTGTTTATGTAGCAACTACGTTCGCTATCACCATTTTTAAGGCAAAAGCTTCAAATCCAATTCTGGTTATAGAAAAGTAACGTTGTTTTGTCATATTTATTCTTTCTTCAGAAAAATCTAAAAATATTTTGAAGAACGGAAAAGCAACTGGTGCAGTTGAGGGGTTTTCTTCAGAATACAAAAGTTCAAGTAAGAAAATCACAGACAGCAAACTTCAAGGAAAGAAGACAAAACATTTTGCCTCTGATGACAAAGGCGGTGAATCTGGAGGAGGAAGCTTCGCTGAAAATGGTTTGAAAGCTCACAATATGTTCAGGAAGATTCACGGTGCGCCAGAGATGAAATTGGACGAGAAGATGTCGAAAGAAGCGGAAGAATATGCAAAGAAACTGGCTGACATGGGGACATTGCAACACGCCAATACTGACTATGGAGAGAATCTTGCAATGAAATGTTCCAGTCAGAAGGGAGAAGAAATGACTGCAGAGGAAGCTACCAAAAACTGGTACGAAATTAAAATATATTCATTTGACGAAAACTAAATTGCTTAACAACTATTTTAAGAGTTCACTGCTATTAGTGAATCTTGCCTGAAGTCCATTTTTCTTCAAGGTATGCTGAAGTTTGTCAACCTGGTTATAGTTTCGGTTCAGAGAGTGGCGGAGGAGCTGGTCATTTTACTCAAGTTGTTTGGAAGGGCAGCACTGTTCTTGGAATTGGCAAAGCAAATGCTGAAAAGAACGGAATGTATTGTACATATGTAGTTGGAAGATACGAAAAGGCAGGCAACTTCATTGGAAAGTACAAAGAAAATGTGGAGAAAGGATCATTTAGCCAAGACATGTGCCAAAAATTGGATGACATGATTTCTGATATTGGATCGGGTCAGTAGAATCGCCTTTCTTGTAACACTATTCTTTAAATTTTATGTGGATTATCTCTTTATCAACGATTTATGAAAAATCTGCAAGAAAATGTAATGTCGTAGGTTACCAGATTTCAACGATTTTAGATCCTCCTTTCCTAGACTTGCCCTATGCTTTCCATATTAACTGCTAGTAGATTGGATAACTTTTCACATTTACTTAGAGATGTCCAATTTTCAACATTTATCTTCTATCTGAGTTGCAGACCCGATTGACTCAGACATGCAATTTAAATTAAGACCATACGCACGTACCCTCTGCCAGAGTTATAGGCACAATCTCCTGTTAGTCAACCGCGCAACATTAACAATAGCCTCTGCAGCTCGTGTATGATCGAGAAAACGTTGAGAATTAACCGATTGGATACGTAACAATGGGTCTATTGTATAGTCCAAACAATGGTAACCTTAAATCTCCAGAGAAATGCGTCGGGACATAGTGCTTTGAATGCTTGAATGCTGGATATAAACATCTTTAATGGTTCATGTCTTGGCCGAAATAGGTCTCTTCTTTGAGGGCTCTTTTTTCTGATCGATAAAATCGTGTTATAGGTGGTGATAGCGGAGACAAGGATGGAAGCGATGCGGAAGGCGATGGAGACAAAGGGAATGAAGGAAAGGGACAAGAAGGACAGGATGGGGCAGATTCTGAAAAGGATGGGGGAAAGGATGATGGAGGAAAGGACAAGGGGAACTCTGAGGGAGACGGGGGCGGTGGAGGAAGCTTCGCAGACAGGGGTTTAAAAGCCCACAATATGTTCAGGAAAATTCACAGTGCGCCAGAGATGAAACTTGATGACAAAATGTCGAAAGAAGCGGAAGAATATGCAAAGAAACTGGCTGACATGGGAACATTGCAACACGCCGATACTGACTATGGAGAGAATCTTGCAATGAAATGCTCCAGTCAGAAGGGAGAAGGAATGACTGCAGAGGAAGCTACCAAAAACTGGTATGAAGTTAGAAATAATTTGAAGTCCAAAAATGTATCGAGTTACATACGATACATTAAATTAACCATAAAATTAAAAAAATTGATGTTGGGAGCCCCTCAATTTGTGCTAGGGACTTTTTAACCATGCAGAATCTGACAATCGCACTTAAATGACCATGAAACTATCAGAACATTGAGAAATTTCAACATTTCCACCTATTTTAAAACATCGGAAAACTGCTCTACCCATTTTCGAGGCTAAAATTCCATTAGTCTGTGATCAGCTATGTTATTTTAAATTTCAAATGCTGAAAGTACTTGAATAGTGTTTTCCAAAATTATCAAACATTTTAATTGTTTATTTGAAACTGAAGAGATATTGAAGTTCGTGAAATGTGACTTGTCCAAAAAACTAAGAGAACAGATACTTTTTGAATATTTTAAAAAGGTTGTCCGGAAATGAAACATGCCCCCTGGGTTACAATGGAAGTCCCCGGAATACAATGTAAATCTAGCAAATGGTAGGCCGAAAAATGATGAAAACACATATCAAAATTGTATTGAACCTATGCTAACTTACCGATGAGCCAACACATTTCCTCGAAGTTTCTGAGAAATACATCGACTAGATGTTTACAGTTCAGTAACACTTGTTAGTAGATAAGGGGCACACAATTCCTTAATTGACAGCTTTTACCATGATATAATCTACAGGTCAGTTAATTTAGATATGCAATCACCACCCCCTTTCAACTGTCGCATTTGAAAATATGAGATTTTTAATGTTGAATCATTAATAAGATATGCCTAAGTTGGACTTGGACAATGAGTAACACAGTCCCAACAATTCTGAAGCTACCAAAGTGTTTACAAACTAGTTTTTTCGTTTGCATTTCTTCGATGTACCAAACTCTAGCCTGATAACCAGCCCATTATTGTAAAAAAATAAGTACTCCTTTATCCCTTAGAATGATGGGCTTGGTATCAGGCTAACCAAACTCGCCATAGATAACCAACAAGGTAGAAAAGGCTATTTGTCGGAAACATGGATCGTAAATAAGCGAATATTGTCCGAAATGAATCAACAAGGGCCATTGAACAAGAAACGGAGCATTACACTTGTGATCTAGGCAAAAACGGTGCAACCCATGGAGAGGTGTAATAGCGTACTGGGAAACAACTGCCAAGATGTTAACTAAGAAAAAGTTAATGTGCATTTCATCGCTTATTGAAAATGACATTTGTGTCGCGAACGTCGAAGATATTTTCAGGGTGGAATTTTCAATTAACCGTCGCGTTCCGCTGGAATCCTTCCTCGGGCCTCTTTTCTTTTTTGCCTTGTTGATGATTTAAATTGTGAGAGGAACTAAATTAGAGTGTCCTCGATTAGTACCTTGTTGCTAAATATTTTGACACTGAAATAAAGTTCATGATAATAATAAAAATAATAATAATAATGATAATAAAAATAAGAATAATGATAATAACAACAATAATTAAAATAAGAATATAAACTACTTGACCAAGATGCTAAGCAAAAAACTACTTAAAAACTGGTGTGTAATAAGAAATATTCTCGACAAAACGCGTAAGGCAAGGGAAACCTTCGTCTCATTGTTAATGATGACTCAAGCTTTGCCGATCCAGACACAGTTATTTTGGATTCAAAATCTTACTTCTTTTGTTTATGTGAAAGAATTGCAAAAGCCAAAGGAGGAATTTAAATCATCCGGGTTTTATCAAAATATATATTGCATATTGTATTAGAACAGATGTACAAGCAATGCGTTAGATCTCATCTTGATTACGGCGATGTAATTTAACATGACCAAAGAATGTCTTTTTGTAGTAAGTTAAAAGCAACTTAACACAAGCAGCACTGGCTGTTTGTGGGACTTGGAAGAAACAAGTATGCACAAGCTTCTTGAGGGGCTTTGCTTGGAGACGCTTTTTCATAGACGATTGTACTGCAGAATATATTATTTTGCAAAATTATTAACAATCAAACTCCCCAATTTGAAAATTTATAATTTCAATTATTTGCATACTAAAAAAATCGCCACGTGGCATTGTTAACGCTAATATGTCATTTGTTGTAGCGAGTTTAAAAACATAGATTCGATCCGGCAACCTAAACGATTTTCAATAGTTTTTAGTCGTTTTCTCCAATGTCAGAGAGAATGGTTTTTGTTTGCTTGTGCTGGCACAACAACGTAATCTGTTTTCTGTAATCATTTCTGTAATCTTTTCCTCTAGTTTTTTTATCGTTCTGCGCTTTTTTGCGAATTATTCTTCTACCCTTAGTTTCAAATTAATGGAAAATTGTGACTTTGGATGTGGAGGCTAATTTATAACGTCATATTTCTCCGCTATTAGCTCAACTGTAATTTAATTTGAATTTTGTATGTGTTAACTTCATTTAATGATAGAAAAAACTTAACCCTTTCAAGCTTATCTGATTTGAAGTCTATTCTTCTTGAAGGTACGAGGAAGTTTGTCAACCTGGATATAGTTTCGGTTCAGAGGGTGGCGGAGGAGCTGGTCATTTTACTCAAGTTGTTTGGAAAGGCAGCACTGTTCTTGGAATTGGCAAAGGAAATGCTGAAAAGAACGGAATGTATTGCACATATGTAGTTGGAAGATACAAAAAGGCAGGCAACTTTATTGGAAAGTACAAAGAAAATGTGGAGAAAGGATCATTTAGCCAAGATATGTGCCAAAAATTAGATGACATGATTGCACCCATCGGATCTGGTAGGTAAAATTACTATTGGCTGTGTTGTTGCTGACGAATGTTTGAATACACGTGACGTACGGTGACGGACACCAGGGAAACGAGACGACTTGGTTATTACGATTCAACTGGAAGGATGAGCACGTGATATGGACTGCCATTGACTGGACTCTTCACAATCGAATCACAGTTGTTTACGTTTATTTGTTTATTTTGCTTGAGCTCTTTTATTCTTACTGTATTTTATTACATTTTCCGTTTGGGAACTGTTCGTTGTTTTCGACTGACGTAATAAAGGTCTGTCAGTGCGCCTTTTATATTGATGGATATAATTTTAATTCTAAGAATTCTGACTAAGTATATAAACTTGAAAAATATATTGAGACATAACCGAAATATTTGTATGTTGGAATGCTTTTGCCATATCAGATTTTAACTCTGAAAAAATCTTTGATATATTTTCTTATTCTATGCTCGTAGATTTTCTCTCATTCATCACATTTTTTTCAAATTAAAGTTGTTGCTTTGGTAAGAGAGACCTTGAACTCATCTATCCTAATTGCAACGAACTAGCGATCCTTATTGCAACGATCCTTATTCGTAAGTTAACATATTCAGAGTAAAGCACTGAATGATTGCATCAAGCATCTTTAAAGGGAAAAAACTTGTTACTTTGAAATTCTTCCCGTTTCTATGTTCCTGTTATCTCTTTCGTCGCCTAAGTTCCAATAAAAGTTTTGTCCAAAAGCAATATGACTTATGATAGCCAGTTGTTAAACAGTTTCTTCAACGTAAGGTAAAATATAAAAGCTAAATCTCGCCAGACTTTTGTGCGTCTCAGAATGGCAAGAATCGTTTAGTAAAAGTGACACGATGCCCTTTTGACACGGGGGCGCTGAAACGCAAGACTATATTTAAGAAAGACTCGAGGAGCCTGCCTTTGGTTTAGTGAGAGATTACTACACTGCCTGATTAAGTCATTAAATCACCCGGAGTAGCTGTTGTACAGTATTCTCTCCAATTAGCGGACACGGTCGAGGCCAGAGCAAGGTGTCCGCTAATTGGAAGTGTCCGCCTTCTGGAAAGTTTTACAATATAAGTCCCAAAGTTAAGAATAGACCCGAGTTTTGTATTTAAAATGTGTAATCAGTGGTGGCACCAGGGGAGGGCTAGGGGGGCTACAGCCTCTCTGTCGGAAACACCTAGCCATCCAAATCGGAGGAAATTTTAGGTTATTGTAGGAGTTATTTTGACAAAATAACGTACGAAAACTGCACATTTTAGTTATTTTAGCCCCTCTGTCGGAAGCTCCAACCCCTCTGTCGGAAGATTTCTGACGCCACCTCTGGGTGTAATCTTGGTAATAAGGGTCTTTCGGGTTGAACTTAGACACTAAAAAAGCAAAGATATCCAAATTGAGCGTAACACAACACTTTCGTGGACAAAAAAGTTAGTAAACTGGGCTGTAAAGAAGCTCGAAGCTGTAAAAAGCCAACTAGATTGTCGTGTCAAAGTATTTGAAATAAACATTTGAATAAATATTCATTCGTCTTACTTTTTGTTCGCTGACTCCTAAAAGTTGTGTACTGTCCGCTAATTGAAAAAAAAGCCAAAATACCTATTTTGTGCAAACAATATTGCCCGTTAATTAGAGTGTCCGCTTTTTAGAAAGTTTTAGGAAGAGACTTTGACCAGAAAACTATCGGGGAAAAAAATTTGTCCGCTAATCAGAGGTGTCCGCCTTTTAGAGTGTCCGTTAATTGGAGAGAATACTGTAATAAGTTCACTTGGTATAAAGTCGAATGCAGAAGCGGATTTGCAAAGGTTTTACATCCAAGCTCAAAGGTTTTTTGTCAACGAGAAATCAAAAGCAATTGAACTTTGTGCGATGATAATCTATTGCTCAATATGCTTTAAGATAATTCATCGAAAAAAATGGCCGAATTTATCATTATACAATTTATATCAAACGCTTTTTTGGCGTTCGGAATCATTCAAAGCCTTTAGAAACTTGTCAAAAATTTTTATACTTTATCGAAAGTATAAAACTTGATTAATTTTGTCCAAGATCTTATCTCAGTTGTCCCAAAGGATAATGTTCATTCTACCATGCTCAAGTTCGAGTACTGCTGAAGTTAAGTTTCGTGCCAATTTCACATGGGGTACGGCTACGATCCTATCCGGGCCCTATGATGTTTCTCGTGTGTTGTTCTGAAAGCCTAGCTGCAAGGTGGTGATAATGAAGATTTTTCCTAAATAAATCTCAATGGAAATCTATAGGCTGAAGCTAAAAAGTATCTACAAAATTCAAGATAATTCAAGCAGTTATCAAAAAGTAACAACAATGGCAATAGGTTTTCTTTCTTCAATTGCTATGAATACCTGCAAAATGCGTTTGTAGAGAGCTTCACGGTATGAAACAAGAATACAAGAAATAGCAAGGATCTCCAATTGCAAGGATTACCTAAAATGAAGTCATATTAAAGGAAGATCTTTCCACGTTGAGTCAAAATTTTTGAACTGCAACCCATGGAAAGTTACAAATTAGCATTAATCGTATAATACCATAGCCTTTAATCTCAACCGAACAATTACAAACTATTTTGGTACGAATCCATAAGAATCAGTGTTAGGAATCATTCATTTCTTTCGATATACTTAGTCTAACATACCTCTTGGTTTTAATAAAATTAAATAGAATTCTGGATTTTAAATCGTTTCAAATAAAAGCAGATTAAACGTCACAAGGAATTTGTATTCCCAGCGATACGAAAAGGAATGAAACAGGTTGCCACCTATCATCTTTGAAACACATGATGTGTCGACTCTGAAAATAATTTTGATAACCTACACGGGGAATCTTAATTCGTTTTGAATTCAAGCTACATAATTCCGGATTTTATAGACTTCTTCCTTCCAGCTGCTTGATAGAAGTATGGAGATAACGTTAAGAACGCTCGAACCGAGAAACTTTAAAGATCTTGTGTTTGTGGATTTAAGCACTTGCCCTGAAACCTCTCGTCAATTAGTTAATGCTCCGTCCTTTCAGTTAAACTAGCTTTTATAGCGTTGTAGTAAAACTTTTATAGTTAAGCTTTTATAGTTAAACTAGCTTCCAGTTAAACTTGCGTTAAACTGAGAATACCAATCCTTTCCGATTTGGATGAAGTTTTGGCCGATCAGTTTGACTGAAAAGTTAAGCGCGTAAGTACTTCGCGTATTTTGACTGATGACTAAGACCAGGTTTGCAGTCGTTACATGGAATAACACGCTGTCTTTTTTACATCACTTTTTATCTGTCCTTGTAATGTCCTTTACGTTCATGTACATGACAATTTGCTTATTCGCATTAGAGAGTACATTAAATGGGATCTTAGATATATTTTCTGTAAAACGATTCTATCATCAACTTTTTAAAAACGACTCGTCTCCAGGTGATTCCGAAAGAAAGGTTGTGTCGGTAAACAAAAACAGGGAAACTACCAAAAGCTGGGGAAACAGAAATGGCAGAAATCGAGGTGGAAGGGGAAGCAGAGGTCGCTGGGGAGGAGGCAGACAACGTGGAAGCCAGAACAGAGGAGGAGGAGGTCGGCAAGGCCAGCGTGGCCGGCAAGGTCAAGGTGGCCAGCAAGGTCAAGGTGGTGCGTCAAGAGGTGGAGGAGCAACTCTTAGTCGAGACGCATTTCAAAAAGGAGGACTAATCGCTCACAACAAATTCCGCAAAATACATGGGACAAAGCCTATGAAGTTGAATGGACAAATGTGCAACGAAGCCGAGGCGTATGCGAAAAAACTCGCACAAAGAGGAGGGCTTAAGCATGCTGACGTGAAGGATGGCGAGAACCTGGCTTACGGTTGTAGCAGCGCACCAGATGGGGGCTTGAGTGGAGCAGAGGCTACAAAAAGATGGTACATGACACTTTGATCATAGTTTATATAAATGCAAAGTTTGACTGCAGCGAGTTTTTATTAACCGAAAATGCTACATTTATCAAAGAATCCATGCGTTTTTCCGCTCGGTTAAGGATTCTCGTAAATTATGATAATGCAATCTGTAGTCGAAAAATTAAAGAAAAAAATCTAGCAGCCTACTAATACTTCACCCCAGTCAATGTGTCAGTAATCGATCAAAAGGGGAAAGTCTTACCAGGATGCTACACTGTCTCCTAGACTACATCCAAATCCCCCTACCCTTTAAGTAATAAACTAGATTTAATTCAATATTCTATCAACTATTGTTGCTCTTTTGTAGGTATAACGAAGTTTGTACAAATAACTACCAATTCACCAATTCAGCCCCATGGTCTACCCTTCATTTCACGCAAGTTGTTTGGGGAAGCTCATTGGAACTTGGCATTGGCATGGCAACAAGCAAGAAAAATGGTATGACATGTACGTACGTGGTAGGTCGGTACAGACCAGCAGGTAACATGGGAGGACAATACCAAATGAATGTACCAAAGGGATCGTTTACGAAAAATGTCTGTTCCTCTTTGGATAAGCTGGTTAAAGAAATAGAGGATTCTGCTGCAGGTTCAGCTGCTCCTAGTGTTAAAAAGCCATCTGGTGGGAGCAGCAAGCTCACTGCTGGAGCAGCCGGTGGATCGAAAGGCGAAACCGAGGCTGATTCCAATAAAAGCGCTGGTTCAGTTGGAAGTAATTCCCGGGGGACCGGATTTCAGCAAGCCGGGCTCCTTGCACATAACAAATTTCGAAAGATTCACGGTACATCAAACATTAAGCTGAACACTAAAATGTGCAGTGAAGCAGAAGAATATGCAAAGGTGTTGGCTCGGAAAGGCTCGTTGCAGCATGCTCGTGTGAAAGATGGTGAAAACCTGGCTTATGGCTGCACTAGTGGGCCTGGAAAGGGGCTAAGTGGGTCAGAGGCGACTAAAAACTGGTACTTGTTTTACTTTTTGATAAATAGAATTATTTGCAACTTGTTTTCATAGCTTTTATACACGTCCTTATGGCTCCGTCTCACTATAACAGAATCAGATTGTTTTTTTACTAAATCGGCCCTCCAATAGTCCCATCACCTCCAATAGTCGCATCACCTCCAGCACCTCCAGCAGCTCCAGCACCTCCAGAAGGACAATTTTCATTCTAATGTGTCTTAGCGAACCTTTTCATGAGTCTTTCGCAAAGAAAGGAAATGGTGCTTGTTACCGTTATCTAACGTTTCAAATAAATTTTGTTTTCTAGATCCTTAGATTTTTCCTTTATTAAAAAATGAGTTCTGTTTTTCTAATTTTTGGGTTTCAAATAATTTTATCAATAAGATGAATGAAAGATGATTTGCTGAAAAACGCATTGCATCCAGATTTACTTGTTTCAGGTATAAAGAAGTTTGCTCGCCAGGGTATATGTTCGGAAATTCTGCGCCGTCAGGAACGCTTCATTTTACCCAGGTAGTCTGGGAAGGTTCCAAAGAATTAGGGATTGGCATGGCAACAGGAAAGAAAGGTGGAATGACGTGCACTTATGTTGTTGCCAGGTATAGGCCTGCTGGGAATTTTGCTGGGCAATATCGAAAGAACGTTCCAAAGGGCTCTTTTACTGGAAATTTGTGCAAAAACCTAAACAGTATTATCAAGGGTATTGAGGATGGCAAAAGAGAGCTCGATTTGATTCATATGGATGATAAATTTGGTGAGGAAAAGGTTGAAAAGTACGATAGAAATCATGGTAGACAATTTCACTCTGAGCCGCCAATTGATAAATCTTTGCATGGGGATCATAATGAAGGAAGAGGCCTAGGGCAAGGGAGTGTCGACAAGATCAAGTCAGCAAAAGGAAATTCAAAGAATATTGGCAATAAAAAGAAGATGGAAAATGTTGCCGAAAATGTAATTCACCTAGACGAGAAAGAGGATAACTCAGAAGAGGCAGAAAAACTGATAAACAAAGATAAGGAGAAGAATCGCAAAGAAACTAAAAAGGTGAACAAACAGGGTAAAGCAGAGAAGCAGAATAAAAGTATTCAAATTGATGGAAACAAAGATCTAGGTTCAGGAATAAACCAAGCTGACGACATGGAATTCTCAGCCGGCACACCGTTATCCAGAAATGCAACGAAATCTTCCAAGAAGCCGGCATCTGTTGCTTACAAATTTCGTACGCATTATGATGCAACTCCTTCGCAGCGCCAAGTTGATAGTACAAGTGTTGATTTTGAGCAGAAGGGACTGTCAGCCCATAATGCATTTAGAAAAATTCATGGAGTAGCTGCCATGGTCCTCGATGCTCAGCTATCGAAAGAAGCAGCACAGTATGCAAAAGTGATTGCTCAGAAAGGCTCTCTGATCCACTCAAAATCAGGGGGGAGATACGGAGAGAACCTGGCAATGGGCTGTACAAGCAAAAACGAAGAAATGTCAGCAGAAGAGGCTATAAAGAACTGGTGAGCCTATTATCATCAATATCGCCATTAAAAGAGATAAATAACCTTTGAATTTCACAATTTAAAACCAGCATTCTTGTTTATTTTCTTACTGATTTATATTATTATTTAGATTCCACAACGTCGCTTTATTGATGCGCGTTTGAAGCCTAACGCTTTTTTAAAGAATATTTTGACGGTAGATATGCTTTCAATTCGGTTGTGAACTTATATACTTGACATTTATTGTTTTGGATTTTGCTGCCAGGTACCAGGAGGTGTGCCAACCAGGATACAGCTTTGACGGCACACAAGGGAATGGAGTGGGGCATTTTACTCAAGTTATTTGGGCAGGCAGTAAACAGCTTGGAATAGGAAGGGCGAGTGCAAAGAAAAAACAGGGTATGTTTGATATGACCTGTACATACATCGTTGGGAGATACAAGCCAGCAGGAAATATGGTTGGCTCGTTCAAAGAAAACGTGCCCAAAGGCTCTTTTACCAAAGAAGTTTGTGATAAATTAGATGAAATGATTCAGGAAATAAAAGAAAGTGGTAAGCAAGGAGCAGAAGGACCTGAAAGGGGAGGTGGAGCTGGAGCTAGTGGTACTTCAGCTGGTAGCTCGAGTGCCGCAGCTATTGGTGGTGGAGCCGGTGGTGGACTTGGTGGTGGAGCAGGTGGTGGAGCCGGTGGTGGAGCCGGTGGTGGAGCCGCTGGTGGAGCCGGTGGTGGTAGAGGCAGTGGTGATGGTAGAGCTGGTGGTGGTAGAGGCAGTGGTGGTGCTGGAGCTGGAGGTGCTAGAGGCAGTGATGGTGCTGGAGCTGGTGGTGGTGGAGCTGGTGGTGGTGGAGCTGGTGGTGGTGGTAGAGCTGGTGGTGGTGGTAGAGCTGGTGGTGGTGGTAGAGCTGGTGGTGGAGCTGGTAGTGGTAGAGGCAGTGCTGGAGCTGGTGGTGGTGGAGCTGGTGGAGGTAGAGGCAGTGGTGGTGGTGGAGCCGGTGGTGCTGGAGCTGGTGGTGCTGGAGCTGGTGGTGGTGCTGGAGCTGGAGCTGGAGCTGATAGTGGTAGAGGCAGTGGTGGTGCTGGAGCTAGTGCTGGAGCTAGTGCTGGTGCTGCAGCTGGTGCTGGAGCTGGTGCTGGAGCTGGAGCTGATGCTGAAGCTGGTGCTGGAGCTGGTAGTGGTAGAGGCAGTGGTGGTGCTGGAGCTGGTGGTGGTGGAGCTGGTGGAGATAGAGGCAGTGGTGGTGGTGGAGCCGGTGGTGCTGGAGCTGGTGGTGGTGCTGGAGCTGGAGCTGGTGGTGCTGGAGCTGGAGCTGGTGGAGCTGGGGCTGGTGGAGCTGGAGCTGGTGGAGCTGGAGCTGGTGGAGCTGGAGCTGGTGGAGCTGGTGGAGCTGGAGCTAGTGAGGCTGGAGCTGGTGCAGCTGAAGGTAGAGGTAATGCAGCTGGTGGAGCTGGTGGAACAAATGGCGGTGCAGGTGCCAATGGAGGTGATGATGGTAGTGTTGGTGGATCTACTGGAGGTGATGGAGCTGCTGGAGGTAGTGGAGCTGCTGGAGGTGATGGAGCTGCTGGAGGTGGTGGAGCAGCTGGAGGTGGTGGAGCTGCTGAAGGTGGTGGAGCAGCTGGAGGTGGTGGAGCTGCTGAAGGTGATGGAGCTGCTGGAGGTGGTGGAGCTGCTGAAGGTGATGGAGCTGCTGAAGGTGGTGGAGCGGCTGAAGGTGGTGGAGCTGCTGGAGGCGGTGGAGCTGCTGGAGGCAGTGGAGTTGCTGGAGGTGGTGGAGCTGCTGGAGGTGGTGGAGCTGCCGAAGGTGGTGGAGCTGCTGAAGGTAATGGAGCTGCTGGAGGTGGTGGAGCTGCTGAAGGTGATGGAGCTGCTGGAGGTGGTGGAGCTGCTGGAGGTGGTGGAGCGGCTGAAGGTGGTGGAGCGGCTGAAGGTGGTGGAGCTGCTGGAGGCGGTGGAGCTGCTGGAGGCAGTGGAGTTGCTGGAGGTGGTGGAGCTGCTGGAGGTGGTGGAGCTGCAGAAGGTGGTGGAGCTACTGAAGGTGATGGAGCTGCTGAAGGTGATGGAGCTGCTGGAGGTGGTGGAGCTGCTGAAGGTGATAGAGCTGCTGGAGGTGGTGGAGCTGCAGAAGGTGGTGGAGCTGCTGAAGGTGATGGAGCAGCTGGAGGTGGTGGAGCAGCTGGAGCTGGCGGAGGTGCTGGAGGTGATGGAATTATTGGGGGTGGTGGTGGCGTTGGAGGAGCTGGTGATGGTAGTGGTGTAGCTGGAGGTGGCGGAGCTGCTGGAGCTGCTGGCCTTGGTGTAGGAGGTGTTAATGGTGTTGGGTCAGCAGGACAAGGAGGCGGAGCAGGCAATGGAGCTGGAATGGCTGATGGTAATACAGTATCAGGAGGACTTATTGGAGCAGGTGGTGGTGCTGGTTCAGGAGGTCTAATTGGAGGTGGTGATGGTGCTGGAGCTGGAACAGGTAGCCTAACTGGAGGAGGTGGTAAAGGGACAGGTGCTACTGGTAGTGCTGTTGGAGGAGCAGGATTGGGATCTGTTGCTGGTGCTGCCGGTGGTGCTATAGCAGGTTCTCTCGCTGGAGCTGCTGCTGGTGCTGCGGCAGAGGCTAGTAGCGGAACAAATGGTCCTCTTGGGGTAGGAGGTGGTGCAGGGGCAGGAACTGGTACAACTGGGACTGCTGCTAATAGTGCTGAAAATTTGGTTTCACCTGGCCTTGGAATTGGAAATGAGGATCTGGAGAACGTTGCAGGCCAAGTAGGGGCAACAGGCAATTCTTTAGGTGCAGCAGCACAGGGAAAGGGAAAACAAATTAAAGCCCCAGAACAAAGTGAGACTCAACTATCAATCGATGGAGAAGTCCAGATTGATACAGGGAAACCTGTAAAGTCTATACCGGCAGCGGAAGGTGCAAATGCAATAGAGAAGAAACCACAAGAGGAGTTTTCGATGGCAAGTGAACCACAAGAAGAAGGCAAGGGTAATGAAGGGATGCAACAGCAAAGTGATAATCCAAAGGCTGGTATGTACCAAATTTAAAATTCACTCTACTTATACGAAGTTATTTTTGCTTTTCTCTAAGCAATCAAAACATTTATGAATTTTTCTTTTACTAATTCGTCCTTTTTTAATAAGTCTAGGACCATATTTCCTCAATTTAAGTCAAAATGTTCAGTTGTGCTAAATAAACTGAATTTTTCCAGGAGTTCTGCCTTTTGATGAGGCTGGCCTAAGAGCCCATAACATTTTCAGAAAGATTCATGAAGCACCTCCCATGAAACTGGATCCGCAGATGTCTCAAGAAGCGACTGAATATGCTGACGTCATCGCTGCTAAAGGAAATCTACGACATTCATCTACTAACGATGGTGAAAATTTAGCTATGGGATGCACTTCAGGAACCAATGAAATGTCTGCAGAAGAGGCAGTGAAAAACTGGTTTGTTCATGTAATTTTTTTGCTTCAAAATTAATGGTTTTTTTGGGAGGGTATTTGCGAGGTGTGATGATATTTGAGAAGACATACGGAAGCTTTTGCAAAACAAAACAATTCATTGTATTTTTTGTTAACAACGAAAGTCGAGATGGTCGTGAGGAAATATTTTGCATTGTGACTAACAGCTCCCAATCCTTTTTATTTGTTATACCATTGAAATATAATAACCAATCCTTGATTGCTTCTTGCATTTTCTCATTTATCCAGGTACCGCGAAGTGTGTGATTCGAAGTACAACTTTGAGACTGGTGACTTCAGTATGGAGTCGGGGCATTTCACTCAATTGGTATGGAAAGGCAGCATTGCCCTAGGCATTGGCAAGGCAGTTGTGCCGAAAGGCAGCATGAAGTGCACTTACATCGTTGCCCGGTACCGTGCTCCTGGAAATTATATGGGAAAATTTCAACAAGAAGTTACAAAGGGATCGTTTGACCCAACAATGTGCAGTAGACTGGATGATATGCTTAAGGAATTGTCAAATGCCCCAGGAGCAGGGATGCCACCGATGGGTGGTCCGGTGAAAAACCCCTCCGTGGCTAAACCCTCTTTTAGAGCCCCTGATGCCAAAGGTTAGTTGTTTGTTAAGTCAAGGTGTTGCAATTTTCTTTCTTGCAACCTTTCCAAGCAAATATGGTTGTTGCAGCCTTTCCAAGTTGGTTGTTTATGGCTCAGACTTTTCGAAAAATCATATGATAATCACAACATTCATTACGTAATTTGAAGCCAAGTAATATGTGACCTGGTAAAAATAACACGTAAATACAGCAGCTAACTGAAATATATACATAAGAGATAGTAAGGTCCTATTTCTTTATGTAAGGTATACATAAAGAACTTAGTAAGGTCCAGTTTACTGTCCGCCTTCTACCGCGAGCCAATCACCAGTGATTTACGTTCACAAAAAGTTTGAAATATTCCTTGCGGCGTATATCTGGCTAAAGTAATGGAATTTTATTCAAATGTTATGCATGCCTCGTCCTGTCGTCTGTAGCAAAAACCGTTTTCGTACAGGGAAAACGACCTTTGAGCTGGAAGCTTTGTCCGCCCACAATCGCTACAGGGACATTCATGATGCACCAGCCATGAAACTGAACAAGCAGCTCTCAATGCAAGCCCAGGCATACGCAGAATACCTTGCAAAGACTGGCAAGTTTGAGCATTCACAAGATAGCACAGATGGGGAGAACTTGGCCATGAAATGCTTTGGTGGTACCGAGAAGGAGCCGGATGGTGTTTTTGCGACAACACTCTGGTATGATTTCCATGGTTGCAAGTTTAAACCTGACTCCACTTTCTTTGACCAAAATACTGCTTTTTTTATCATAACCTCTGATAACTGACAGCTATACCGAACATATGTAGATTTCTAAGTTTCCTTTAAACTTAAAGCTTTTCAGTGTCAAAAAAGTTATTCCCTTTCAGGTACGAGGAGGTTTGCAAACCCGGGTATGACTTTGAAGATGGAAAGTTCACAATGACGACCGGACACTTCACACAGGTCGTCTGGTCGTCTAGTAGACAGCTCGGCATAGGAAAGGCGACTGGAAGTCATGACGGAGTTCCTTGTACTTACATCGTAGCCCGGTACAAACCTGCCGGAAACTTTGAGGGACAATTCCAAACCGAGGTCAAACGTGGTTCATTCACGAAAGAGGTTTGTAAGGGTTTGGCAACTAAACGAAGCAATTTTCCTTTGAAACAAAGACGAAGGAAGAACTGGAAGACGTTGAGTAAAAGCCGAGTTACTCCTTGTGTGTAATATATAAATTTACAATACTGCTTAGAATTTTAACTTTGTACGCAAATATACTAACATATATGATTTAACAACCGTAATTATAAAACAACTAATGTAAAACCTAAAAGGTAAAAAATATTTCGTGTTACGTGTTTTAAAATTTGGTGTCATAAATGACTTCATAATTAGTTCATGTCACTTCTTTCTGTAGATGTAACTTGTAATGTTGCTTGTAAACTCTTTCATTTTGTCTGTCTATTAAAAGGTTATATTTTTGTCAGAATGAATTAAACTTAATGACTAGCTTTGTTTCTGTCTTCATAACCGCAACGTGAAATTTGTGTACGCGCAGTTTTTAGGCTACTGGCTTAAAGTTTAAAAAACTCTGGTTTCAAAAACGGCAAAAATATTCCCCAAATATAAATCACATCAAACTTTGAATCCCTATGACTGGAGTACCCTGGGTTCCAAGAACGTCAAGTGTCGCAGGTGGGGCGTCGAGGAAATAGGTGGTTGCGCGAGAGTGCGGAGGAGGAGAGAAGAGAAGAAGACGCTCTGGTTCCATTCATACCACTATTGTCTTCTTCAGCCAATAGCATAACAGGATCCCGAAAACGGGATCTGGCAATGATCGGTCTTTGGTAGGCGATTTGATTTTGATCCACCCAGGATTATATACGCGCTTGAAGAATGGAGAACATCTTACTTGAAGCCATCGATTATTCTTTAAGGAAACATTTTCCTCAAACTAAAAATGTTGATGCACAGCAACTCGAGATTTTAAAGTCTATTTTCTTAGAAAAGAGAGATACATTTGGTCTGCTTTCAACCGGGCATGGCAAATCTCTCCCCTTTCAAAAAATCGTCTTCCTCTCTTTTCTCCTCCTCCGCACTCTCCCGCAACCCCCTATTTCCTCGACGCCCTATTTCCTCGACACTGACGCTCTGGAACCCAGGGTATGACTGGAGTCAATTATGAAGATCCAAAGTCAGCTCTAAATATTGTTTGCTTGTATTGAGATTGCTCATTCTCCGATTTGATACTTTTTACTGTTTATAGGTCTCATCATAAATCAGGGAGGGAGTTTCACTGAGGGGTTCTCTCAGACCCGGTCAACACTGCTCTGCGTTTCAAGCGAAAGCGTTCGCGCTGAGCTAAGCAAAAACAGAGCATAAACTAATGTTTTCGAAAAATCACTAGAATATTGTGAACGCACAAAAACGGAGGCTGCAACAAAAAAAGCGTCAAGACAATTTGCGTGCTAAAATGTTCTGTTTTTGGAAATCATTTGTTCCTCTGTTTGTTAAGGATGGTTGTCCCTCTCTTTTCGTCCAAAAACAGAGGACAATGTGAACGAGTAGCTTGGATGCCAAAAAATGGATACTAACAACAACGAAGCAGTGTGAATGTGGCCTAAATTGATGGATCTCATCTTAAAAATGATTGTATTGTTTTGAGTATCTGCCACACAGGCCCTCTCTATGCAGGGGGCCTTTCATTGATTCTAATAAAAATAGAAAAGCTTTGAGAAGCTCGTGTAATTTAAATTATCTTATTCTAAAATGCAAATATTAAATGCTGTATTCATGTCAATTTGGCTTTAAAAATACATTAACGAACTATTTTGCTACTCGCGAAAAATATATAATTTGTTCATGTTGTAAATTCTTAAATTTTGCAAAGCCTAGGCATATGATGCCACAAAACACAATAGTCTACTAAGGACATTCCATCTGTACAGTGTAAACAGAGCTAGAGCTTAACGGTATCTGAGCCTAGCAGTTGCTCTTACATTGTTTCATTTCATGTCTGTCTCAAAAACAGGCCCAGGAGTGGTGCCATGGAGGTGGCTCAGGGGGCCGCTTGTTAAAATTCAGAGAGATTTCTGGGGGCTCATCCCCCCTAAACAAGCAAGTTCCTATTTAGTTGTACTGCGTTGGCAACCCTTCATTATATGTTAGATGCATCATGAACAAGCAATTACTCAAATGTATTTTTGTTTCATCGAATAGTTTGAATGACTTCTGCAGAAAACAGAGAGTCTTGAACAGAAATGCAAGTATAATGGTAATAGTGGTAATAGACGTGGCCTCCTGAATTTGCCTACAGCACAGCCCCCTTCCTAATTTTTTAGGATGGCACCCCTGGGTCCAGCATGGGTGTACATTTTCGAGGTTTAACCAATAAAACCATCATGAATTGACCAAGGGCGTTTTTCTAGTTTTTCTATATGTAAACGACACTGTACAGTATCCTTTTTCTCTTCTTTTGTAATTTTTAATATTGATAAATTAAAGAAGCTCGAACTATCTAAAATCTCCTACTTGGATAATTTTATAACTTTTATTTGGATAATTTTATAACTATTATAACTAATTTCATGAATACAGTCAACTCTGTAGCAAATTTTGGTGTGCACCACAGGGAGAACCTAATGAAATGTAGTACTTATCAAATTTTTTCTAATATTCACAGAAATTTCGAAAAAGAAAGTTTCATCTCCTCAGAGAAGTAACGAAATTGGTCAAATTGCAAAAATTTAGAATTTTAGAGGGTTTTTGTAGGGTTTGCTTGGAGATTTTCTGGGTACCAGAGAATTTTGCTTGAGGAAGTAAAATTTAGATTAGCAATTTAGATTTGAATTAGGCACAACTGACTGTATCGTGGTTTCAGCTACACCATCCCAATTGTTATGAAGCTTAAATTCAACTTTTGCAAAATGTTTAGGCATTTGTACCACAAAAACCATTTTTCAAAATATTTATGACAGATAAAAATTAACAGCAAATAGTTTATTGTAAATAAGCAATTTTAAGATATTTTTGTTATTGATCATAAATAGGCACTTGAAATCAAATTGCATCTGTACTTTCAAATCTGTACCTTTTTAAACCTTTAGACCCTAGAAGAAATGACATTTCGCCAGGAAAAAACTAGAGAACTAATACATGTAACAACGCACAAAGTTTTGTATCTATTGTATTAACAGGTCATCGTTGTATTAACAGTTACAAAAAGTAAAAATTCAACTTTGGTTTTACCTATTATCATGTAACAAAAGTGAGTACATGAAATAAATATTAGTTGGCTTATTATGTCTTGTTATTTCCAATTCATTTAAATATTACAGAACATTTCAATTCAGAATATTAATATAAGATGAGATCTGAGGATTGACTGCTTCGAAAAGTAACAGCTGTTGACCTTTTTTCATTACCTTTTCACGTTTTCAATCATGCTGACAACTTGATCCGCTAAACTAATTTCCTTCTGTCTACAGTGTAAAAAGCTTTCATTTCAAACAGGGTTCAGATATCCTAGCCTCGCTTGTATGTAACCAATAAACTTCGCAAAGAACATGTGGATTGAGTAAATCAGAGCTTCTACGGTGACAGCTTCGAAAGGCTCTGAAAATGCATTTGCTGGCGTTTGCGGCTTTTACCGTTTTGTCAAGCCACGTGCTTGCTGATTTCAACTTGACAATCCTCCACACCAACGATGTTCATGCAAGAATCGAGCAGACCAACAAGTACGGTGGAAAATGCGCCGACCAAGATACAGCTAAAAACAAATGCTTTGGTGGCGTTGCAAGGCGGAAGACAGCGATTGATCAAATCCGAAAAGCGGATGAAAATGTCTTGCTTTTAGATGGTGGAGATCAGTTCCAAGGAACACTCTGGTTCAATGTATACAAAGGCCTCGAGGCTAGCACTTTCATGAATGAACTTGGATACGATGCAATGGTGAGAAACCTTAAACATCTGCTTCATTAAAACATTTGTTCGAAATCAATTGAACGTGTTAGTTGCCCGCTAATTATGATTCAAGATAGCTCTCGTGACTGACCAAGGAAATCAGAATTTCTAGGAAAGGGTGAAATTATCTGATGAAGTTTTATTTTCCGGATTCGAGAATTGGTAGCCTGAAAAATAAAATTATTCATAACCAAACCAAACCTTTTACTTGCTTGCCTAGTGTTAAGTAAACAAACGAGAAGCAAAACGCTATGCCACTCTTTACAGAGGTGTGTCGAGACGGGGGGATCCTAACCTTCTGGGAAAGAACTGAAAAAAAATCGCTTCATAATATTTTCAGATCTTTAGATCCTGGTAAACCATTGAAAAATCATTGCATTTTTGTGGTTGGTTTTTGTAACGAACAAACAAATTGTGCGTAACACCAAAAGGCAAAGGTGAACTGAGGCTGCGTTTACACGGGGCCGGCCGAATATTTGGTCGGCCACAAACGAGGACACTTGGGCGTTGCGTTTACGCGGGGCCGCTCAAGCGACCTAATTCTTATGACTTGCGCAATGTGTCAAAAACGTGAAGCCAAAAATCATTGTGAACAAAGAGCTAACAAAACAACTTCTCTTATTCTCTGTTCTCGTGTGCTCTCTTCACAAAATTCTGTTTAAAGAGGATGGCTGACATAACTGCTATCAATGATCGGGAATTTGCGATGTTTGCTATGCCTTTCAGTTTTAAATTTCAAAATGAGTTATTCGACGAAAGTCGTTCATATTTTCAACAAAGCACAAGCTACAAACGCAAAATCTAACCAGTGACTCTAACCAACAACGATACATTAATTTCGGTCCAAAAATTTCAATTTCTCATTTTGTATTTGCCCCCGTAGCACGCATCGACACCATCTTTTTGGACCGTGCAAATATTTGGCCGGCCATAACCGTTTACACGAGGCCGCTTGCGAATTCGGCCGGCCAAGTTTCAAGAAGGACGCTTTCCTAGATTTGCACGCTTAAGTGACCTAATTTGAGGTCGTATAGCCGGCCCTATGTAAACGCAAGGCCTAAGTGACCAGATATTTGGCCGGCCCCGTGTAAACGCAGACTCTGAGAGCCGTGCGGTATCAATTCTAATTTGTAGCATTGGTTTCAGGGTTAAGCACCACGAACGAGAGGGTCTTTTGCCCATTGTTATTTCTAATCAGTGAGACACCAAGATCAGACTCAAAACTTTTCCATCCCTTATCCCTCCCTCTTTCTTCCAACAAGCTTAAATATTTTACATTTTTACTGAATCCTTAAGTTTAATTGCCATTTTTTCTCCGATTTAGGCGTTTGGCAACCACGAGTTCGACAATCGCATTTCTGGCCTACTTCCATTTGTCAAAGCTGCGAATTTCTCGCTTGTTTGTGCCAATATGGATGTATCCCAAGAGCCTCTTTGGCCACAGAGAGACACAATCTATAAAAAGAGTAACGTTTTTACCCTGAGTGGCATCAAGGTGGGTGTGATTGGATACATAATCAAGGAAACAACATGGTAAGACAACATGCTTAACTTCTTACTGTATTGTTCGGTATATATCAAATATCCTGTGGGCGTTATAGCTTCAATAAAAGAATTGCTAAAGGAAATGTTTTTCCTACATTTTTTTCCACGGGGAAACACTTTGTTTTAACGTACAGAGGGGTCAGTAAGATATCTTTTGTTTGTGTGTTGATTCCATAGTATTTGATTCCATAGATTCCATAGTATTTATTCCACTGTTTATAAAAGAAATAATGAGGTGACATTTTTATGTAACTGGATTTAGATGGTATGTGCCTAGTTAGTTATAACGAAATTAAACCCTAAAGTAACGTTGGTAAAAGAATTAGAGAGAAGGGTTGAGTCAAACACAAGATATTCTTGGTAATCTGATATTCTTGGATTTCCCATACATTGATTAAATATATTCACTGAGAACGTGGTGTATTAAACATTGAATGTATGCACCAAAAATGTGTGCTCAAGAGAGGTGTTCAAGTCCACATTGAACTGGGATGTGAATCGTTTAACTTAAGTCGGCTTAGGCGTTTTGTTCTTTTTTATAGATTCAATAATAACCTAACACCAAATTATACAAGAGAACCAATTCCACAAATCCCAGAACCACCTTACTCGCTTCGCAAACGAAACGTAGTTGGGCAAATCTGTGGAAGAGCCGCAAGTTACAAGGCAAGCTTCCCCCCCCCCCCCCCCCAATATCCACTAAGCAGCGAATCCGGTAAATCGCCGCTACCCTCCTTGCTCACAGACAGTTTCGTTTTTTTTTGCTTTTTTGTAGTTTCCGTGATCAAAGCCTGTTCCAAAAATGTTGCTGGGTATAGAAAAAAACATGCATACCCCTGCAGGGTGTCTCGCCTGGTATATATTTACCCTCCCTGGGTGTCTCGCCTAGCGTCATTTTATCTTAAGACTTTGAGATAATTGTGAATGGCCTCTGGATGTTTTGAAGGTTCATGCTCCCTGTGGTATCGTTATAGTACTGTATTTGTAATTTATGTTTTGCAAATTTATATGAAAATAAGAAAGTCCCATTTGCCGACAAAGTGGGCGAGTCTTCCTCTGCTTGACTCTAAAAACTTTGTTGAGAAAAAGCTTCTCGTTTTTGAAACAGAGAGTGTGCTCCTCCAAGAGTTGTGTACACCTGACTGGCATCCCCTTTGCTACACCCCTTCTTTTTCTTTTATGAGAATCTGATAACTTTTGCAGAGGTTTCTGTTCTTGTTTTTGATGCTCGGATGCTCTTAATGTTGCTCTATCAATTTTACTCTATAAATCGCTTTTAAACCCTTAAATACTGTTTTGTATGACAAGGTTTGTTCAGCTGATAAAATCAATGTTTTGAAACCTCTTTTTTTCTGCACACATTTTTTTGCCAGTCGAACCTCAATGCTCTTATCAAACTTTTTCTTATATAAGAGAATTGAAGTTTGGGTGTGCTCAAAATTTGAATTGGTAGTAGTATTTATCCTTTTTAATGGGCATAAAGTTAGAAAAAACGCTGAACTAAATCATAGGAAAAGTTTCTTTTGTCTTACAGGGGTTATTCTTGGAGAGGGGCAAGGCTTGCATGGAGGGAAAGGAGCCGCGTACCCCTGTGACTTATTTTAATGTCCATCTGCATGTATCATGAAATATGATTCCGTCATAAGTGACACCAAATTCAAATCTTAAAATGTTAGAGATGTTTTTTGTCCGAATAGCTTTTCGAGTAAAAGTGTATTCGCTTCGGTTGTAAATATGTGGCGTGATCTCGCTCCGTTTCTTATTTGTTCTGTATTCAATTTAAAACGAGTGAAATCTCTAACGTGTTTGTTTGAGAGCTGGGTGATTAAACATCATTGATCGAGATTGAAAGGAAAATTAAAGTCACATTCATCGTTTTTAGCACAGAATAGAGAGCTATCTGACGGGGTGTCCCAACGCAAACCCTCTCTATGAATTTTTATATCGTTTTTGAAAAAACTGGGCTAAAGCCGTGCGATGAATTATCTAGGTTTAAGAAAAGATGATAACGATAATGATTAAAGGAACAACGGAAATTCAAAGAGAAAAACTATGAAGGACGTATTTATATCACAAAAGAAAGCTAATATTTCTTCCGAACAAGCAGGGCATCATATGCCACAAATCACTATCTACTATATCATAGAAAATGAAAAGAACGTGGTCAGCAGGGGTGAAAATACCGTGGGGGTGTAGGGGGTGTGACACTCCCCCCCCCGATCTTAAAAATAGCCGATTTCGCAGGGTGCCAAGAAGAGCTTTATTGCCACGCAAAAACGCCACCTCTGAAGTTCGCAAAGGGCCGTTTACTAATTTTGAAATGGAAATATTATATTTGTTATGAACAGGTATGTTAGGAAGAGCTCCGTTATTAGCAGAGCGAAAGCATTCCTTACCGAAAGTCATAGCCAATGGATGCAATGAATGATGCATAAGTTTATGAGGGCAAGGTTGAGTCCACACAAATTAATTTAAGTTGTAAATTATTTTCATGACAGGTACGACTGGGGGGAGTAGAGGGCTGAAGGTCAAGATAAGAACTTTTTTATTATTTTTTCTATAACTTTTTAACAGTGTGTGAAATAAAAAGAGAATAAACGTTTAAGATGCCGATTTTGTTTGATCTAATTGCTAACTTATTCATGTTTATTTTTTATTATTTTTCTTTTATTTGCAATAATTCAGTAAATCACTTTCTGTATCATTGCAATGTTTTCATTTTGGAAGTGTAAACATGGCCTTCTCGAGATAAGAAACTGCACATTTCTGTTCAGAAAATAAAATTCTCCCAATCAAAACAACATTGCTCTGTCATTCTATGTTCAATCTGAAACGAAAGGATACTCTTTCTTTCCTTTCACAACGTCCATCACTAGAGTTTTAGCATACCATCCCCCCTCCCTATTTTTCCAATAAACAATAATCAGTTTTTTAGCAGTATAGTATTTTGCTAAATTTTAGTCTGGGAGATGATTTCCCCAAAATTTGGCCTCTGAATCCAAACTAGCAAGTACCTTTTGAAAATTACTTCCAATTTTCTCCTAATTTTCCAGTTGGTAAATTCCAATCGTCAATACTCGCTCCCTCATTTTTTTTCTCTCACGGGGAAGCTTCAAATAACGAAAGCTGCCTTTTTAGATTAGTAGTCCTGATAAGATTCCCTAGCATGGCCTGCAATTACAGTACGTGTTTGCAAAATATTAGAAGATAATATGAAAGCAGACGGGTGCTGTTAGCTGTTTATTTGGTAGTGTCAAATTCCAACAGGCACATTTGTACTTGGAGGCACAGGTGTTCCAATTCTCCAGAACCATACGGTTTCCAAATTTAGTGTCTCGCCTTTTAAGAACCATTCTTCCCAGGAATTTTTTTCTAGAAGAAGGCCTAAGCATGTGGTTTTGATATAATAGCATCGATGAAGCCATTTGATAAAGTATTGAATATATATTTATCCCTTTTCATTTTCCTCTTTGCTTTACTGCGTTCAATGCGCTTCGGCAATTCTTTCAACTGAAAAAGCATTTAAAATAAACAAGAATGTAGAGTAATGTTCATCATCAAATGCTTCAATTGTTTGCTCTTTAGGCTTTCGTCACCAGGAAAGAAGATTAAATTTCTTGATGAAGTCGAGGCAGTGAAGACGGAAGCAGCGAGGCTGAAAAGTCAAGGCGTGAAAATTATCATTGCAGTGGGGCATGCTGGGATAGATGTTGATATAAACATCGCAAAAAATGTCGAGGACGTGGATGTTGTGGTTGGCGGACACACGAACACATTTATGTACACTGGTGAGAATATATTTTAGGAAAATCGAAATATTATAAAGTCATACAACCAAAAGTAAAACCTATTCAATTTATAAATCTTAAAACGAATACCCAAGGATAAAATTTTCAAAGAATTTTCAATCGCACCAGTTCAATGAGGTAAAATTTAACAAGGCGACCCTGAAATACTCAAAAAGCTACAAATATCTTAGAAATACATAAACAGTAAAAGAAACTTTAAAAAATACTGAACAGATAGACAGTTGTGCCGAACTACCAAATTGAAATTGTGATGATAGGGACAAATGTAGAAATGATTGACTGTTTGTTTATACATAAATCATGGTGTGGAAATGAAGCACGTGGCACGTGGAAATGAAATCAAGGTTTAATTTAAAAAACCATTGCTTAAAGCTAAGAAGGCCAGTATACCCTTATCTGAGAGAGGTTCATGAAGGCAGCTATCTTTACTCTATCGTTTATTTGTTCGCATAAGTTTATTGATTCTTACAACTAGCACAAGACTATAGATAACTAGTTTGAGACTAGACTGATAATGGATTGCTGCTGCCCAGGAGCCCTTGCATTCATTTTGATATCCATTGTAGGAACTCCTCCTTCGAACGAGAAACCTTACGGAAAGTACCCACAAATTGTAAACCCAACTTCCAAACCAGCGAAGCAAATCCCAGTCGTGCAGGATTTCACATTTGGAAAGTATCTTGGGAACCTAAAGCTACGATTTGATGATAACGGAGAGTTGATCTCGTACAACGGTAACCCAATCCTTCTAGATGGGTCATATGCACAGAACCCAGCATTGCTTAAGAAAGTTGAAGGCATGTCAGGTGCTGTAAAGAATTTTTCCGAGGTAGGGTATTGAAATAGAAATGTGTTGTTTTTAAGGTTAATGACTTTTTTCATGAGGAACTCACTAGCACAAGAAGATTTCTAAAAGGCAGTTGAGTCGAAAATGTTTTCTTCTTTGATGGCCGTTCCTTTTTTCGATACAGCCATTTTTTGCACAATGTGTCGTTAAGTTACCATCGGCAATCTGTCTCACAATTCAATAGTGGTACTGCTAGGCTCATGCGTACGCTTAAATTCTTTTAGTAAAACCAATCTATAAAACATAAGCCCATTTTGAGATTGCCTCTTCGCTGCAAAGACAAACTCATAAATTCTTGGATTTCTCATCGCAGGTTTCCTTGGGAAAAACACACGTCTTTCTAGATGGGGAAACAGCTTCCTGTCGTGTGAAAGAATGCAATCTTGCAAATTTCGTATTGGATGCTCTTGTCCACACAAACGCGAAGCAACCAGATGAATCAAAATGGGCAGATGTAGGCATTGCTCTGTGGAATGGCGGCGGAATACGAACCTCGATCGATAAGAAACCGAACGGTAATTATTCCAAATAGTTATGAAAATACATCCAATTCATAAAAGTTTAAGGGTTTTTACTATTCTCATAAACATTACACTATAAAATCGTGTCTTGTGATAATTTGATTAAAATCTTTCTAGATTTAGAGTCACTAGTTTACGTTTCCAAGAAGTTATCTTTTTTAAGAAAATTCTTTCTACTTTTGAAATACTCAAAATTGGCTTTTAGTTGTAATAACGTCATTGTTGCAACTAAAGTATTAGTTACATTGCTTTATTAAATGGCAAAAGAACTATAACATGGCTCTTCACTTTTTCAGTGCAGAAATATATTGCAGAAAGAGGACTCGAATAAGAACAAGCTACTATAAAGAAATAATAATAATAATAAAAATAATAATAAAGGATGTTAACAGATCCACATAACATGGCTATTCTCTGTTAAATAATAAGTAAAATATTGTCCTTAGTTCGAGAAATATTAACCTGAAAAGATATTAAAAAAGTGTCTATTAAATACGTTAAAATAATATATCTATATCTATCCTCCTGTTTCAGAAACTATAACATATGGGGATCTTCTGACCGTTTTGCCATTTGGAAACACAGCTGATATTATTGAAATTAAAGGCGAGCACATTCTACAAGCTCTTGAATTTGGAGTGACCAAATGGAATCCTACTTCTCCCAGTGGCAAATTTTTACAAGTTTCAGGTAATATGAATTCGATGCAGAAGGTTGTGGCTCCTACGTGATCACGCTAGTTATTTTTTCAAGTTCTGTCCTCTCTACTGTGTAGGTAATAGGCATTACCGTAAATCCCCGAATTGCACCACCCCTCGAATAAACCCCCACCCTAGAACTATAAATTTTCAATAAGCCCCCCCCCTCGAATAAGCCCCTCTCAAATAAGCCCCCACTGCTACCGTAAATTCTCGAATTGGGCCCCTCATACCTTAAAAAAATGCTCACAAAAAGAATAGGTAATAAGAATAGGTAATAATTAACAATTAAGTAAATGCTCATGAAGAAATTCCTACAAAAATAAGCGAGGTCTTTGAATAATTTCATTTTATTGTCTACAATGATTAATGTCACCTCGTATATCCTTCCCCCTCGAATAAGCCCCCATCCAAAGATATCAAAAATCAGTAAGCCCCCATCGAAGATTTACGGTTTGAATATAAGCCGAGTCTTGGTGACTTGATGGATCACTTGTCTCAAACAATGTATCAAACAATGCCGATCTTGTACAGCTTCTATCGGCTCCCACAATATCATCAGGGTCCCTTCTATAATGCCTTCAAACGATCTACTTCCTCCCGCTCTACCTAGCATGAAGGTTTTTCTAGTCTTCTGCCCTCACTACCACGCCAAAGTATGATAAACGTTGCTTGACAATCATTGCTTCGAAGTTGCTTCTGGCCAGATGTGCTCGGTTTTAGACTTTTTTATTTTTTTCTGTGTCCACAACACACTCAGAGCTCGAAGTAAACAGCATATCTCGAAGCTGTCTATCTTCTTTTGTTCTGTTCTTTGGGTATTCCTACTTTCACGGGAATACGATCGCCTTCACTATTCTGATTTTTGTTATTGCAGTGTTTCTATCCTTTATGACCTTACTCAGTTTGCTTATTGATAGTCTTCCCATTACAATTTGACAATGAGAAGGATCCCCCTCTTAGGGCTGATAAGAGGGGTAACACCCCTGATACCCCCGTAGCGACGGCAAAAGCCTTACATAAGAAGTAAATTGACACGAGCGTTTATTCATCCAGGTATTCGTGTTACGTATGACACGAGTAAGCCAGAGGGAAGCAGAGTTGCTGAATGCCGTGTGAGATGCGCCCAATGCAGGGTGCCAAAATATGAGCCAATCAATAAGTCAACAGTTTACAAGGTACTTTTGTAATTGTCTTTTAATTTCTGCACATTCGTTACGGTCTATGATTCAAAGAAATTCACAAGTGAATCATTTGATGTGCTTTCTTAAGCATCTCATGTATACCTTGTTGGGGACTTCCTACTCTGACTGTGGCTGATTGCTTTTGATTCAAAGGTTTTAATTATTTGAGGATAGAGAAGTCTTTCGTCTCCAACCCATTGGCTCTAAAGTCTTTTAACACCCAAATTCATTGCCTTTCCTTTTTGAAAATACGTTAGCTACGAAATAAGAGTACTAAAATAGGTTAACTGTTAAATCTCCGCTTTTGTCTAAAAGAATGAAGCAACTTGAATTGTTTGAACTACCAGTGTAGAACTGCCTTCATAATAATTACTTTTAACAACCGTCTCCCTACAATACCTTCTCAAAACACCTCTACTCTCTAGCAAAACCCTTCGTTGCCTTCTTTCTAATACTTCATCTTTTTCTAGGTATTAATATCTTCATTTATTGCCGATGGTGGAGACAACTTTCAGGTATTCGTGAATCATACCATAAAACGTCATCCTGGAAACGTAGCATCTACAATGGTCGCCGATTACATCAGAACTGAGTCACCTGTAATCATTGGCGAAGAAGACCGCATCATGTTTACAAAAGCAAGTCCACATCCGTCATCAGCATCTACCAATACTGCAGCAACGATGACAGCTTTTGCGGTTGTAGTTTTTTATATATCTATGTTACTATGAAGTAACTTAGGCCTAGATTTCTGCCAGAGCCACACATTTAGATATCGTTTTTTGTCTCGAAATCTTTTACAGAAATTTAAAGATTTTTCCAAACTTAATTTTCTGCAGTTTTAATTACTTCTGAGTGTAACTGTACTTTGCAAAGTCTATTTTAATGTTATCAAACCTTTAATATTTCCTTAACACATGCACAACATATACAGACCTCTTTGATATTAATTATCGATATTAAGTATTGTATTTGTAATACCTGCTCGATATATTCAGTGTCAATATTAAACGCCACGCAATTAAAAAATGATTTAATTTTGAAATTGGGGAATCACACACTTCTTGATATGAAAGTTCAATTTGTTTACAGGATCCTTCGTTTTAAGCATTATGCTTTCATTTCTGCCCTGACAATTGAGTGTAACCATAGTCATTTTTAACGAAATTAGAGTATTTTACTCATCTTAATAATTTTTTTGGGAGGGGGGGGGGTTGGGGGTGATTACAATGGACCCTCGACCTTTACTGACTTTTGGTTTTTGATTCCACAATACCTACGAAAAATCAGGTTTATGGGCATTTTGGGTTAGAACCTAGTTTAGGGACGTGCTCTTGAACATTGAAGAATAATTTTTATTTCAAATTGAAATTTTCCCAAATTTTTGTTGCTAGAATTTCTTTGTTTTCAGGCTCTTTCAATTGTTTCAAAAGGAATAATTTCAACAAAAGCTGAAGTCTCTAGGTCGTAGCTTAAGCCACAAAATTAAAAAAATTGTTTATTGCCTTGCATGAAAAAGCAGATTAGAATCACTTTCGAATCAGTTTTAATCTTGTCCAACCAGAAACAAATTTCACACGCTGTCACTGAACTTAAGAATGCTTTCTTTGGTTTAGAGAACAATTTTCATTAAAAATAAAAGAATCTTCATATCAATTAGCTACAGATTTTCCACAAGACTGGACGATTTTTTCGACAATTAAACATTTGTTTAAGTTTCTGCTCAAGGAGGGAATTTTTCATTTAAACAATCTCGCAATTAAAGCTATAAAGATAAAAGACATTTCGTAACCAAAATGTCTAGGGCTACTAAAGAACAGTCGCTTCTCTCGAAAAGGGATTTTATTCTGAAATGTATTCTGAAAACATTAAGAGTTACAAAGGCTCTTTATTGAGAATATCTAGCAGCTTCAGTCACCTAGGATGCATTCGTGCAAATATATCCATCACTTTGTCTTGATCAATGTAAACAGCTCTATCGACATAAAGAAGAGCAATTAAATTAAGCCTGTCCTCAGCCATAGTGCTACGCAAATATGTCTTGAGACGTCGAAGAACGGAAAAAGTCCTTTACAGGAACAAGAAGTCACAGGAAGAGTAGCCAAGATTTGCACTGCAACGTAGGCTTTTGGGAAGGTCAGCTGATCGATCATGGGCAGAAGAGATTCTAATGCTGAAGGTGGCGTTTGATTGGGACCTTTCCAAGTTTCTTCCCATCTATGGTCCTGTGAACCACTGTTCCCCCATCGGTATACAAGGAAAGGTAGGCTTCAAATTTGTAATGTTAATGGCTGTTTTGTTAATGGTCTCGGTCCACTAAGCATCTCACTAGACAGCAAATAGAGATAAGATGAACCCACAAGAAGTGATAGAGACAACTAAGGAAGAAGCACCTAGCATGGATTTCGGGTTCCAAGACTTGTCAGCATTATCCTGGATTGTGTCAACAGCAGCAATAGCTTCTGCAATAGCTCCGTCAATTCTAGCAACCCAGCAAGTACGACAAACATCAATGAGCCTGCAATGTGATGCATGCGGCAACAATGCGCTCACCTCATCCTTCAAAATGCCGAATCGTTTCGGGTGAACGTTAAAAAAATCAGATACAACACTCACATTTCCCATCATTTTTTACTTCTGGAAGGTCACAAGTCAATATGAAAATTTACCTGATACAAAACTTTTAACAGCGAAAACCTTAGATACACTTCAAACCCTCCCTACCCCCTTTCATCAATTATCTTCACTGTTCTGTTATGTTCGATTCAAACTAAAATCTATTTATATTGTTTTTAAAGGCTCTTGTGCAACCGGCCCAATGTGCTTTGCGACCATAATTCAAAAGACCAGCCTAATATCGTACGGCATGAAAATGCAAAACAGTCAATTTATCAAGGAAACTGCCGCTATAGCCCAGCGCACACGGCAGACTTAAACATGACGGCTGCGCAAGTACGTCATACAGGGCACATGACTCGGTAGCTCATCGCATAGTCAATAGAAATACGCTGGTCTGGAATCTTTGCGGAGGAGCCCTTTGTCCGATTGTTTGATCTTTTTGTTCAGAAATTCTGTGCTCATCGTAGCGTGACCCTGCACACTGTGGTACGCTTTTGAGCAGTAATGTGTATTTTCATTTTCTATCTCGAATTATGGGTTGTTTTCGGTAAATATGCTCAAATATGCCTGGTGAAAACTGTTGTATGAATGGTTGTGGAGTAAGTCGACGCAAAGGTGCGAATAATCCTGATGGAAAGATCGGATTGTTCAAGATTCCCGCAGCCAAGGATGAAAAGTCAAAGCAATGGCGAAAGGAACTATTGAACATTATAACGAAGTATCGAGAACAGGACGAAAGCTTTAAAAGACAGCTAGCAAACGATACCCTTCATATATGCGAGAAGCATTTTGTACCTGAAGACATCACAACACGTAAGTTGTTTAGCTTAGCTTCTCAATTATCAATTTGCATTTGTACATTCCATGTACTTAGGCCCGAAGAGCTCTCACATAGATGGGTTCCTCGTTCCTGTATGCGGCGTACACACAATAAAAATGAAGTCCATGATAAACATAACCAACTAAAATGGGGGTGTAGAAAATCTATTGATTAGCCTTGCTTCTGTCACTGACAAATTAGATGAGGAAGGTAGCCAATTTACTTGCTGTGTTTTTCAATTGTTTTTTAAAAATCATATATTATTACATTTTCTATGAAGTGGGTATTTGTAATGGCTATTCACGAAAAAGTTATTTTTTTGTACATAAAATTAATAGTGGTAAAGATGGAATGTTAAATCTAACTGTATCAATTTGATCTAACCATGGGCTAAATTTAGAGGAGACATTTAATGCATATGAAAGCCAATGTGAACATGGTGGTGATTTTTATTACAAGATGTATTTTTCAATGAAAAATGTTAAAAGCTATCATTTTATCAACTTTTCTTGCAGATCATGGTGCAAAGCTAACAAAAAAATTTCTGAAATTTGGTGTGCTTCCAACCAAAGAGCTGCCAAAAAAATCAATGGATCACCATTTTCCAGATCAGTCACAGAAAAGCCGGCCCCCTAGAAGTATTGTGAAGGATTCAGACCCTACAGACAGGGAAAAAAGTTGCTACAAAGATTTCAAAGATGTGTGTTCCAGGGTTAAGAAACTATCTATCAAGGACTGGCATGTAGATGTATCTGAGGATAAAATTGAAATAAAGAAACATCAAGTTCCCTACATACTTCCTCGGCTGTGTGTTGAGATCAATGAAAGCCTTTGCTTTACTATTTATGTGTTTAACTGGCGTATTCCTGTTGATCATTTTCTATACAAACAGTTTAAAAGGACGTTGAAACTGATAACTATATCAGAGCTACTTCGGATTATTGAAAATCTCAACATCTGCAAAGGGCACAGTGCATTAAGCCACTCAGGGAAGTCAATACAGCACAGCATCCCACTTTTCTTAGAAGAAGATAATGAAGATAACCCATCTTATGCTGCAAAACATTTTTATCGTGCAAAATATTGTGAGGTGTTAATAAAAGGAGAAAATTGCATGAACTGCCAAGAGAGAGAAAGGTTGTTTTGCAAGGATGAAGCAAGGCGTTCTGCAAGACAAGCTGTTCCAGCAAAACTAAAAGCACCTGTTAGCATGACCTCAGCCAAGAGATTAAAGCTAACTTTGCAGGCAAATAGACTCAAATGCAGGCAACTTGAGTCAAAGGTTGAGGAGATGGAAAAAGAGGTTGCAAGGCACAGTGTTCATGTGCAGTCAGACCTCAGCCATGATCTGCTGCAATTGATCTCTAGACATGGGGGCTCAATGAGTCCCTTTATGAAGCTCTTTTGGCAGCAGCAGCAAAAAAATGCTTCAAGAATGCCTAAAGGGCAAAGATACCATCCAATGATAATTAGATGGTGCCTTTCTATAGCATCAAAGTCATCTGCAGCCTATGATGAGATTAGAGGAACATTTAAAGGTACAGGCACTATAGAGCTCCCTAGCAGGCGACAACTAAGAGATTATAGCAATGCTATAAAACCAAAAACTGGGTTTAACCCAGATGTCATCCAGTCATTGGAAACCATCGTTTTAGACTACAGGCCTACAGAGAGGTTTGTTGTTCTGTTATTCGATGAGATGAAGGTGCAAAGTGGACTTGTTTGGGATAAGACTACTGGAGAACTCATTGGATATGTGGATCTTGGGGATCCTGATGTCAACTATGCTACACTAGATTCCCAAGACAACATAGCCACTCATGCCCTTGTTTTTATGGTCAGAGGCATATGCAGCAAGTTACAGTTTGTATTAGGCTACTTTGCCACTGCTGCTGTCACATCTTGCCAATTGTTTCCGCTATTTTGGAAAGCAGTTGCAATTTTAGAACTACGTTGCAATCTAGCAGTTGTAGCAGCAACTGCAGATGGAGCAACTGCCAACAGGCGCTTTTTCAAAATGCATGAGGGTGTCAGCAATCATAATGAGAGAGATGTTGTTCACAAGGCTTCAAATATATATGCCAATGAAAGGTATATATTTTTCTTCAGTGATGCACCTACCTCTTAAAGACATGCAGAAATTGTTTGTTCAATTCTGGATCTGGACGCTATAGCAGATACTTGTGGAATAATGGTGATGAATTATTATGGGGTCACATTGCAAGCATGTATCATCAAGATCAGCAGAATGGTCTCCACCTTTTGCCAAGGCTTACATTTGATCACATAAAGCTGAATTCTTATTCCATTATGAGAGTGAACCTTGCTGCTCAAGTGTTGAGCAAATCTGTTGCAGCAGTTCTAAAGGAATTTGGTGGGAGGAACACACTGGCTACTGCAAAATACTGTGAAATGGTCAATGATTTTTTTGACTGTTTCAATAGCAGAAGTACCAATGAAAGTCATTTTCAAAGAAATAATAATCTCTCTCCCTATACAGATGTTGAGGACAAGAGGTTTTTGTGGTTAGAGAAAGATTTCTTAGGGTATTTTGCTTCCTGGAAGGACAGTATAACTAGAAGAGAAGGTTCTTTTGATGAAAGCTCACGTGCCAAGATGTTTATATCATGGCAAACACACGAGGGCATGAAAATAAGCATTTATTCATTGATTGGTGTGGTCCGCTACCTCCTTTCCAATGGCGTAGATTATGTGCTATCCAACAAATTGTGCCAAGATCCGGTGGAAGAATATTTTGGTCACCAAAGAGGACTTGGTCGCAGAAGTGACAATCCTAGTCTAAGAGACTTTGGGTACAATGATAACAAATTGCGAATCCAAAGATTCATATCCCCAGTTGAGGGAAATACCAGAGGAAGGAAAAGAAAGAGAACAGAGACAAAGTGGAAGACAGTCATTCCTGATCCAATCCCGAAGCGGAAACAACAAGCAAAAGGCAACATGTAATGAACTTTTTAATTGTTTTTAATCAACTAAGATACTTGCACAGCTTCTGTTCACACGATAACTTGCTATTTTCTAGTAAAGCAACTCCAATCTAATTTAAGGATTTCCAATTTAAAATTATTATTGCTGTCATCAATTGTTTTCATTTTGGCCCACCTCAAATTTAAAAAAATTAAGGAAATAAATGAAATAAGCAAATTTTTTAAATTTTTATTAAATGTCACTATAATATTAGACAGCAGCTTTAGTTTGTTGATTAGAATAGATATCATCATTCTATTCGTAAATTTAATGTAATTGTTAATTGTTTCTACAGTTTTCCCACATTTCTTTTCCATAGCTTAATTTAAAGTGACACTATGTCCAAAGTTATGTCCAAAGTTTACTGATAACATCATACAGCTTCCTTATCTGCTACTAGACCCACTAGACTACATAAAAATGAGGCCAGAGTAAGATTAGATTGCCAATTCATATATATCTTCAGCAGTACATGTTTTTAATAGCTAACATTACAATAGATTGTTTTGGTTATAGACCCTTTGTTCATTTCAGTTTTTCAGCTGGCTTTTCTGTTTCTCTTTGAATTTCCTTCCTCAGGGCTTTTGTTTTGCCTTTTTTCTGTTCAAATTTAAATTTGTTGACAACATCCTTAGCATGTGAGAATGATCTCACCTTCACATAGAGTGACAAAATATTTGTTAAAAGGTCTTTACTTCCAGCACTATCAACTTGAATGGCACAGCGTTCAGTCCACTCATGGTA